GCTCAAACATCTTATTTTCAATCATTGTCCTCATGTATTATATGCATAACTTTAAAAATATCCATAAATATGCTTGTAAATATACATTTTATTACTTTTTTGGTACTATTGGATTGTACTTAAAATGTCACAGGTCTTCTCTTATTTTGCACTTTTGGAGTAGAGAGATTTTGCCTTAAAAAGTGCTGGACTTTTGGTTGTCACTAATTGCTCAATTAAGTCTCAAAATAAAAAAATATAAAATTTATATATAAAATTATCCCTATAGGAGCAATTACATCAATATTTATGTCTCAAGTATCAAAAACTATCAAAAATGTGATAAAAATATTATGAAATCTTATATATCTTTAAGGTGAATTTTTTCCAAACTTCAATAGCTCATATCTCACAGTTGAACTATCTAAAAAATCAAAACTTTACATGAAGTACTTATCTACTTTCAACAACAATTACAACAAGTTTCAACTACAAATTTATTACGGATCTTGAGATATTGCCAAAATCCTAATAGTAGCTTCAAACCCTTGCTTACATACACTTCTATACAATTTTTTTCATATCTCACAAATTAAGTACTTAAATATCATAAAATTTTGATATATTGCTTTTTAACCTAATAACACAAACTTTTAAAAATTTTGAGTAAAAAATTCGTCTAAAAACTCAAGATATGTCTCCAAACATTACTATCAACAAAATGATTCATTTACTACCTTTGAATTGCATGTGCTATCTTCAATGCTCTATAACTCCTTCATACAAACTCCAAATGTACAAGTTCTTTTGCAAAAGATGTAGGTTTTGAAATTATCATTGCATTTACATCTTTTGATCTTCAAAATCTATCATAAAATTCCTTGTATCCTCAAAGAGCAACAATATATTTTAAAAAGATATCTTAACTTCAAATGGTTATAATTTTATCATCCTAATTCCAAATCCTCTAAAATTTGTAAACAAATTGTAGTCCAAATCCTAAACCTTACAACCTTTACAATCCTTACTTTTAATTCTCAAATGCCCCTTCTAAAGTCACCAAAATCCTTGTTATAGTTGTGAATAGCTTGTTGAATGCCTATTTTATATGGCCTTTGACCAATAGGAATAAAGATCTTCTCTTTTTGCCTTCATCCATCCATATCTTACTTTTATCCCTCCAAATAAGTTTCTTAGAGGTTTGGATCTTCATTTTTGAGCTCCAATCTTTTCTTTAAATTTTATACTAAATATCTAAATCTTATATAATTTAAACACTATAATCAACATATGTAAATCTCAAAATATTTTTTTTTATATCAATTCTTTTTAGATTAACCTACTAACCACTCTAATGCACATCAACACTTATAAATATATTTTATGTTTTAATTAATTTTCTATATACTATAGACAATTATAATACAATAGTACTTCTTTCACGTCTTCAACAATACCAACTAGGCAAGTGATATGGATGAACACTGCTCTACTTCCGGTTATGTATTCTTGTTCTTCCATGGCACCATTAACTTCAAGGACAAAATATGTCTCCATTTGCTACTACTTCATACAACAACTCGTGGCTCATAATTTGTGTTTCGATACTGCCCAATCCACACTATGCACATTGATACTCTTACAAAATCACTCTTTGGGCCAAAGATTACCCAATACTTATCTTTGCTTGGCCTGCTTGGAGGAGAAATCCCATCTTTGCAATGATTTAGTTAAGCGGCCATGTTGGAATCAAGATTAGAAATAACCAACTCATCCATAAGAGTCAAAACAAAGTGGAAGGTAGTACCTTGTCAAGGATAAATAATATACATACAATATTATTATCAATTATTTTACATAGTTTCTGTAAATCTCAGATTCACCTAGTTCTAATACATCCTGATAACTGTTTTACCATTTCACAGACTTTGCACTTCATTTTGCACTTCATTTTGCAAAGCTTCATGAGCGCTTGACCTCAGTAAGAGACTAATCGCGGACACGGGTCCCGAGAGAGGGACAGCTCGGTGGCCTGACCCGTCCTCAGGGCGTCGTCGTCGTCGTCGTCGATGGAGCCGCGCCAGCTCCCTCGGCGACGCAGTCTCACAACACTCCTCCGAGGTCTAGCATTGGCAACACTAGGACCCAGATTCAGACCCAACAGACCCAGACTCACACCCCAAAATGTCCATTGCATGTACAACACCGTGATCAGTAAGCACAACACGAATCTGGAAGCAGTTCCACTTCATACCAGCATTGTCTTTAGATCTCTAGCTACCTGTCACTAGACGTTGCTGACAAAGTGGTGAAGGTTTAGATGTGTGTCAGTTTCGAAGACCTCAGCAGAACCTGGAGAGTCCCTTCACCAGTGCTTTGGATTCAGTGCTTCAAGCAACCGAGCCAGCTTATATCGTTACAACGTTCTCAGACAATGATCATGTGCCATGTTTCAATTTCCTCGGTAGCGCGTAGTGACAACGTAGTCTTTGTGAATTTATTAAACTGTGGTTTGATTACAGTTAACTAAATTATACAATGTGATCATGTCAGTGGTTAGTGAACTGACGGAAATGCTACGGAATATAAACACTGATCACATCACGTGGGATACTTTCTTCTCTACCTAGGACGTTCTAAACATTTTGAGCAACAGCCTGCGACCTTGGTGACGGAGTGGCAAAATTCCCAAGTTTTAAGTTGGAGCTCTTGGTTTGGTTGTGTTGCCAATGGTTGCCCGCTTCCTGCCTAGCCGTCGTGGAACGATACGCGGCGCTTTGCCTTGGGGATGGGTCAAGCTTTGTGATGTCCTTGAGGCGGCTGCGCGCGAGCTGACACCACTCAAGAGAATCCTCGAGCTTGGATCTCATGGCGCTGAGCACTACAGGCGGGATATCTGTCACTGGAGTAAGAAGCGCTGCATCCTGGTCTAATGGTACACCCTCGGAGAACTCCAGCATGAGCATGTTCCACAGGTCCGCCAGGTGCAGCACCGCCGTGCTGAGCATTGCTTCTACCTTCTCTGCACACTCCGTCGACTCTGGATCTTGGCCTATGCTTTGCAACCCGATCAGCGGATTGACCTGATTCTTGAACGTCCCCTGATACTCCTTGCCGTGGGTTAGCTCCATGCGAACAATCACAACTTGCTTCACGCTCCTCGAATTTGTAACACAAGCTCACCAGCGTTGCGAAGAGCTGAACCCAGGCTGGAGAATGTCTGCGTTTGCAATACCCTGGAGCTGGTGCTGAAAGATACAGGAGGTGGAGTGATTCGTGGACGAAGTACTTGTGGCAATGGTCCTGTACGCCACACGCATACTCATATTTAACCTATACACTCGTATTCCGAAAGATCTGACCTCACGGTGCTCAATAGTTATTCTACTCTTGTGAACGAATATTCTGTCAATTTTCGGGAGCTGATCATGGCAATAGAAGTTTAGAGTTCTAATCTAAGCTTTGATCATGAGAGCACGTCAGGTGTGTAAACAATTGAATCAGAGGCTGATGAGGGGTTCGTCATGACAATGAACCGAATTTGGCTGACCTGAGCTAAAATTTGACTCATTCCTGACCATTTCCAGTCTTAGTGCACTTACGCCAATTACGAGGTCATCTACAAGCTCGGAAGTGCTCGCGAAAGTTCTTGAACTCAATGAATGCTGAATAAGATTTTTTTTTTTTTTTTTTTAATTTTTAATTTTTTTTTTTTTTTTGTGTAACTAATTCTAAGGTAGTGCAAAAAAAAATTAAAAATTAAAAATACTGGAGGGTTGTGAGTATCGTGGACACCTCTGGGAATTCTTGCGGCAATCACAGGCGACGGGTGCGATTGCAGCTCATCTTGTTTTCATTTCGGATCATCAGGAGAGAGACGATAAGTCCAGTTTGACCCGAGGTTTGCGCATCGTTCTTTTGGAGTCAAATTGTTTAGGCGCAGGTCTGTCGATGATCGATCAACACGGGGAGTCGTCGTCATGGTGGGAGTACATGCTTCCATGGCTTGCTTCTTTCGAGAGTAATGGAAGTTGACAAGTAGGTGAAATCTGATAAATAAGGGATTCTTTCAGATCTTGCGGAACAGTGGAGTACTATCGCTTCTGATGGTGAGATCTCCTGTCCGTTGATGAGAGTGGTCTTGGAAATCGATCTAAAATATGGGTTGCCCTCAGTAAATCATAACTAAGCCATTGTGTGGGTAACTTCATATTTAAATTATAAAAACTAACAATAAATATATCTCTGCATTATTGTAATTCATGGGTGACACTGGACGTCAATGCTGAAACTTCAACGAATGATCATCATGAAGAGAAGGTTAGCTGCCATCTGACTCTTCGAACGGGGTGCAATCGATGTGATTAGTGTACACAACTTCAAGTTGTAGAATGTGAGGTTGCGGAACCAGACCTGGATGAGTGAATGAGATTGTCGTAGCCGGATTTGGAAGCGTTTCTAGTTTATTTATTTAGTAGGAACTAAATTCACGAAAAGCTCAGCTTACTTTCTGAAACGAGAGATAATTCCAGGAAAGAAGTCATGCTAGTTGACGAATCATCCATTTAAGTTGCAACAATAGTTGTTCCATTGGGAGGCAACATGCATAGTGATTCACAGGGTGATTATTTTCATTGATTTTAAGATTTCAAAAAACATGGAGATTTGTTAACCATGTTGGAAGGCAAGAAGTAATTTTCAGTCCAAGGCATGTGATTTGCTTGGGGATCTCCTCCACAGAAATCTAAACAGTGTTTTTAGTTCAACAAATTATACTTCAATCCGCCCAGTCAATACAATAATCGCAGCGTTTCTATTTGACCACCTGTCTTTGATATTAGAATGATTACCCATCTATAATATGCGCTTGCCACCCCCTACTGTTGTTGCAATTGGCAGAATGTTTCAATTGCGTTGTATTCGTGTAAGCGTGTGGAGCACAGTCAGGGTTTCTGATGCGGTGATAATAGAAAGTCCCTGATAATTGAGACTTAAAAGACACGCTTGGGCCTTCACAAGCATTTAGTTCCATCGGAGATATGGTTTCGCTTTTGTGAAATTAAGCGCAAACAGTTTATTATCGACATAAAAGGAGAGGAGATCTACATATGCACTGCGTTCGACCAATTAATGTTCGATATTGCTAAAGATTACACGAAGTTCAAGGGCCTCTACTGCTGTGTTAGTGCTGCCTTTTGTGCATATTCACACTGACTGTACAGTTTTAAGCTTATTTATTCCAGTTTAAATCCTCTGCTTACGAAGCTTCTGAAGCTTTATCCTGCACGACATAAGTGAACTTATACGAAAGCCACGTGCTAAGAGGAAGAGGTTTGTTTATGAACTTTAAGATGATGATCCCGAGGAACCACTTGGAAGCGAAATGAGACGCTTGGCAGCGAGGTTTTTAATAGAATCAGCAATAACGCGAGCACTTGTCTTCATATAGCCACCTGCAAGAATAGTTGAAAGATAGATTTCAGCACATGAAACCGTAAATGTGCTAACTACGAAAAAATCAGGCCTTCAAATTATATCTCCTACTTTATCCCGATAATATGTAAACGTTGTGAAGATAGGTGTGCAGGACATGGTTTTAAAATCGAGTACCTGAAGTGAGCATGATAATTGGGGATTTCTGGTCTTTAGCAAACCGGAAGACCATTTCGTCCCGTTGCTTCACTCCCTCTGGTGATACCTGTTCACGGAACTTAAACCCGTAAATCGACCTCCCTTAGACCCAAAGCTAGACGTCGTAAAGCCACCCAAAAGTTAAAGAGAAAAGGGTCTGATAACATTAAGGGAGGTAACTGAAGAACAACTCACAAGCAGCCTGCCCAGAGGATCACCCTCCAGGACGTCAGTTCCGGCATTGTACACCACCAGCTCTGGCTTAAAGATGGTTGCAGCTTTCTGTGCATTCCAAAGAAGCGCATCGGTCAAGTAAATTTACTTGTCGCATAGACTGATTGATATGAGGCACACACCACTAAATTTAACATTGAATTAAACAAAATAGTGCTGAGTTGAGGATTTTTGTCGCACCTTCAACTCTTGACTCAATAGTGCAAGGTACCTATCGGTTTTTGTGCCGCTCTGCACAATGATCAGTGAACATACCAAATTAGTAATCGCAGCATTCGTTTGCTGAAAGTGTACTCCCCGCATCTGAGCAGCAATTTAGGTCCAGGTAGCAACTAAAACCCTGGTTGTTGGTTTAACTAGACGCACTATCGAATGCAGTTTACAGATGTACTTACGAGGGAACTGCATAACGGTCAAATTTAGGATAGAAGTGGATACCTTCAGAGCAACTGCTTGATTGATCCGTTTCCTAGCTTTGAAATCCTGCACACAAATGTTTGCATTTGTGAAGACCTCAAATCGACCAAAAGGTGTACCAGCCAAAAGTGTTATCTTGTTTTTAAGATAATAAAAGTTGAATTTGTAACTCCATTAATTTTCCAACAAAATCATGAATTTTTTGCTACTTGCTGATATCAGACAATTCAGTTCTTTAGTTTTCATCCAAATCTTATGCGCCTGTGGTTCTTGTCAGTGTAAAACCATAAAAGATGGTGTTATTCGATCTAGCAACACGTTCAAAGCAAGACCTTGAAAAGCTCACCTGCGGATAGATGTCTTCGTTGTACATGTCGATGATGTAGACTCTGTCTGAATTCCCATTCCACCACGACAAGTCAGGAAAATAAAACAAAGCCATACCACACACAGCTTGCAGAACTTCATTATACGATGTACTAGGCAGTAAACGAGAAAGCATGAACCTCCGTAAGGTAGGAATACTCGATTACCATCATTCGTGAAGTCCCGCTCGTGGCCGTTACCTTGGTGAGCATCTAGGTCAATAATTATCACTCTGATACCCAGATAAGTTGTTAGTGTATTGGAAAAATATAAACAGCGATCAAGTAGACACTCTCCAAGTGAAGCAGGGAAGAAGAAATTTGTTGGAACCTTGAAATAGCCAGACGTGTGTACGCAAATTGAATAGCCAAAGTGATGTCCGCATAAGCGCAAAAACCACCCCCCTCGTTGGCGCAACAATGGTGAAAGCCGCCTCCTATGTTGATGGCCCAGCCCCTCTCTTTGGCTAACTTAGCACTCAGTACTGTACCGCCTACCTGTTCACAGCACAAAGAATTTTCTCAAATTTTCATCGATTTTAAAAGCCGAAAGTATACATCTGACTCAAAGACTTAACAATTCCTAATTACCTTAGTTAAAAGGTGCTTGAAACACTAAATCAAAAAATAATCAAAGGTCTCGACACAATCAACCTGTACTCTCAAATGCTATCTGTCATTGATGCTGGAATACTCGGGTGTACATATTCGTTAAAGTGACGTCGTGAATTAATATGAGAAGCGGTTTCATGTCTTAAACTGAATGAGCTTTACCTGTTTTCGAAAAGGATGCAGAAGCTTCCACTGCACTAAGAAGTTCGGCAGAAACGCCACTGGTGCTACCTGATTATTCATCATCGACAGGTCTCAGAATGCCTACAACTACGTAAGATCTAAAACAAGCAGTAAACCCATGTATAAAACTCTGAACAATACCACAATAATATACGTGGGGTATATATACATATATCAAAAACTATATTCATCCCTGCGGGATCCAGCTGTAGCATTTCCTTAGTTCAAGGCACGAACATCTTGACCTCAATAAAATGTTAGTGTTTTGAAATCACTACACAAAAATTAGCAAAAAGTATGACCTATTACCTCAGTAATTTGAGCCACTACATAACTGCTATTTAAGCTATCCAGATATTTTTCAGTATGTACCTGCGCATGGTATTCATCACAGCTCTTAGCTTCCTTTTTTTTCTTTTTCTAAGTTTAGGATTGTGTTAATTCAGAACTTCACCGCAATTTTGAGATGAGAATAAAGAACACTCCATGTATTAAGGGAATCCACAATCGTAAGCATTAATAAACTTGCGCATGCTCCGTAGCAGATCTAAAACCTTAAGCCTTCATCTGAGCCAAGCTGTACATGGAATAGCTTTTAAGCGTTAGATACAAAGCAAGGAAAGAAAAGGTACCACGAGAAGATCATCTCTTGTAGCCTCAACAGGTTCTACTATGCGCTTCTGCTTCAGCACTCCGTCATCTGAGAGAAAGTTTTGTACGTGGCTCCACTTTGATGCATCGAAAGGATGCCTGTCCAAATCAACCCGACGCACAAATATGATAATTCTTTACTCCTAGAAACTGATAGGTTTAGTAACAAAGGAGAATTAGGGATACGAGAAGAGCCTCACAGCTTTTCGATGCCCAGGAATGAGACGTTGTAAGAGCTTGAATACACGACCGGATCCTGCATCCAGTTAGAATCCCAATGTTTCAACCTTGGATAATTGACGTACGTTCTAGGAAGCGTGTGCTTCTAATTGTTATTACTGATGTTCTACCATAACGCTTAAAAGCTATTGCATGGAAGATGCGATTGAATGATGTGAAACTTGCCTTTTCGTCGGGAGATACATTGATATAGAGCTTACTAGCCTCTATACGCTGCTTCTGCTTCACTTGATCTTCTTGTAGTGTTGATGACGCTGCCATAACTACTGCAAAGACCACCGACGGGAAACCCAGTTCAGATTTTCAGTTAACAATCATCCCACAAAAGTAAAAATCATGACAATTCTCAACATTAGAGTCAAGTGACTGCAGAAAACCCCATAGCTATACCAGAGTCCGAGCAAATTTTGGCACATGAACAGGATTTTCGAGTGGCAATGAATTCTATTTTACGAAAAAATCCAAAATTCAAAGATGAGTTCCGACAGAGGATTAAAGCAAATGATCAAAGCTTCGAAAATGATCAAGCTTCCAAGTCTGCACAGATCCACCGACCGAAGTCAATCCAATCTTGTAGCTAACTCACCTCAGAACAAAACCCGAAGTACAAAAGAACAGATTGAATGGGGAATTGAGCCAGACAACCTGCACGCTGATGGAATGAAACTACACACAGGCTTCGAATACTGTCGACTTGGACCCAGCTCCAAATTTTCGCCATTTCTGCACGTCGCCACTATTTAAGAATACTTCATTTCCATTAAGAACTCACACTTGGCTCGCAGCCAGGATAAACTTGGACGAGGGCTCCCAGAAGACGATAGCCCCCCCAGATCTACAAAATTGGTTCATAACTAGTAAATGTGTAGATTTGAAGACCTTACACCTCTTGCGAAGTTTGGATGTTATGAAACCGTGTTCAGTCGGCGTTAAAACAAGTTAATGCGGAGACTCGGAAGGAGAGGTTGGCAGGTCGGTGAGGAAGCAGGAGCTGGAGTATTATGGTTTTCAAAACCAGCGACTGATTAGGGATTTTAGTGGAGAAATGGGTAATGGAGCAAGCAACCTTTGGGAGGGAGAGATCTTTACATATTCCAATGAAGTGGTCGTTCTTTGAGGAATGCCAGGCCGGTGGATCTGGGCAGACTTCACATCGCTGGATCCCTGTCTCTGGTTTGATTCTTCTCCATCTTCTGCAGCAGTTTATGTTTTCCTAGAAATGCAAACTATATAAGTAGCAGCTACAGTTAATCCTGGGGGATTTTCAATTTGTTGAACTCAAAATGGGTAGTGGTGGTCTTAGCAACAACTCTCATTCAAAGGGGTGATTATCTGTGGTTATGTGCTACTTTTATGTTGCTCACAAATCTTCACAAATGAGTTGTCCTGGTAGACTTGCGTGTTTCAATGGTGTTCCGCTGAGGTTGCTATGTACTTGGATCCTTAACTGCAAGTTCTTTGCTACCACACACACAAGATTAGTAGGGTTAGGCCTGGTTTGTGTGTTTGTAATTAACAGAGCTTCAGATTTATGGTCAAATTACTCAAAAATTTACTAAGAAAATGAAATTTGTACGTGGAGTGAAATTTAAGGAATTATTTCAAATGAGTGGTGTTGTAAGATTTGGTGTTTCTATTGCAAAATAGTTCATAAACAATCTTTTTAATTTTATAACTTAAAACACTCTTGTGCAAGTTCATGTAAATGTGTTTGCTTGTTTTATGTCTAATTGCTTACAAAAGGTGCAATAAACTTGAATTGCATGCTAGGCAAGAATATTACTTTCAAACAATTTCTACAAAGTTTTACATTTTTATTCATATACCTTTTGACATTCCACTTAAAATGTTTTAAATTTTTTCTTGAAAACCTCAATTTACTTTTATTTCTTACTTAAAACCTGTTTACAAAATGATTATTACACCTTTTTGAAATTTTAAAATTTCCTTACATATACCATTTTAAATTACTTCAAGATTCATTATTAAATTTTATTGAATATATAAATGAGTCTCAAATAGTTTTTTCTCATATTGTTTCTTGGTCTAACCTTCCATCTTATTTATTAATTTTACAAACTAATAACCATTGGATAATCCCCACGAATAAATGTCCAATAGGAATGGCTTGTTGCAAACTACTCAACACACAAAACACTGTAACACTTGCATCACAACCTCTGACAAAGCCTTGTTATGAAGGAACAAAATTACAAAATTTCAGCTGCATGTACAAGTCATCATTCAACCTCGATCATGCTAGCAAAAGATTCCAAATTACACACATTCCTGTAATCTAGTATGAAATAGTTGATATCAGAACTTCAAAAAACAACACAATTGGATGCAAATGAACTTCATGTAAAATTAACACATTGCAACACTTCACACCACAAATTTGGAAATTTCGGTTTCAACACATCTCAGAAACGAAATAGGAATTCATCAACAAAGATGCAAATGCTTAGGAAAACCTACATAAAGCATCAATTCCTAATACTATTATTATGATATGGAGTTCGGTGCATGTCGGAGTATGAGTGCAGTGGTAGCTCCAGAGCCTCGACGCCACCGAGCGCCACTGTGCCCATGCCTTGGCGGCACACAACGCCTCGTCCCCACCACATCGCAACGCAGTTCCGGTTTTTTGATCCACGCTTTGAGTAACACGCCCAATGCGCTTCTAACCCATGTCTCAAAATCTGATCTTTCAAGTGGTTGGATGTGGAGTTCATCAGTTTCGGAACACCTTTCCATGGCTAGGTTGCTTCTTCCCGTGCTGAGGCAATGCCGTCTTTGCGGTGAAGATCCACTGGGGTGACCCTGTTATTTTTTCTCAGCTGCTGGCTTTTCAAGCTTCTTCAAGGTGATGTTTCTTGCGCGAGAGGATTTTTCAGTGCATTCTAATTTTGTGTGACTGCCTTAGATCTTGTCCATGTTTTGGTTGCATAGTTTGGGTGGTTTGTTGAGACGAAGGGAGAGTTGGGATGGCGATGGCAGAACGGGAGATTGGAAGCTGCGGGCGGGTATGAGACGACGGTAGGGGAATTGAAGGAAAGCAGTGGCGAAAACATCATGAACGGCGCGCCGGAAGGCTCTGGGGGAACCATGCGGTTGAAAGGCGTCGCTGGAGGGGCGGGTACCGACGATCGAATCAAGGGGCCATGGTCGCCTGAGGAAGACGTCGTGCTGAACCGCCTTGTAGAGAAATTTGGGGCTAGGAACTGGAGCCTGATCGCGCGCGGCATCCCGGGCCGGTCGGGGAAGTCGTGCCGTCTCCGCTGGTGTAACCAGCTCAATCCTGGTGTTAAGCGGAAGCCCTTCACAGGTTGTTGTTGCTGTTGTTGTTATTTTTCTTTTTTCTTATCCCCTTAAATTGTACCCCATGTCCTCTCCGCACTGCCAACCTTACACATAGTGTTTTCAGAATGGAGTTGCTGGTTGTAACAATTATAGAATTCTTTCACATGATCTGTGAGAATTTGATATGATCGAAACTGTCTGGAAGTGTTCAGAACATGCGATGGATAGATCTCGAGAGCTTGGTAGTAGAGGCGTGATGAATCATGTTTAACTGATGTAAGAGTATGTTCACAGAGGAAGAGGATCGAGCTATAGTGGCGGCGCATGCAATCCACGGCAACAAGTGGGCCTCTATAGCCCGGATGCTACCAGGCCGGACTGATAACGCCATCAAGAATCACTGGAACTCCACTTTGCGGCGGAAGCACACGGGCGACGACCGGGGTCGAAAGGAAGGCTCCTCGGATGGGTCCGAAAAGGGGAAAGAGGATGGCAGCGACACGGAGCGCATTCCACCAGCTCGCGAGTACGATAACGACGCAGGCGACGACTCGGGTCGTGACTACGACGGTGAGGAGTTTGCAGTCTCCTCTGACACTCCAAATTCGTGGCCATCACGTAACTCGGAGAAGATGACCGCGGGGGAGTCGATGGACGAGCGGTCACATCTCCGATTCGATCAGTCAGAGCGCGACAGCGAGAATGATGCTCAAGCTCAAGCTGGTCTCAAATCTTCTGAGGAGAAACCCATCCGACCCACCCCTCGCCCGAGCGCCTTCTTTTCCTACAGGAAAATGGTGGGGAATCAAGGCTTTGTAGAGGTTGGCTCTTCATCCGTCTCACCCCCTTCACATGCCAACGACGATGGTCTGAGCTCCACATCGGTCTCGTCCTTCATGCCGCCGTTCGCGACCTGGAGTATGCCTGAGGCCCCGGGCAATTGCGGCCGCGGATGCTGTCCTCCGCAATCCTGTGATCGGCCACCTGAAACCTCGATCTCACCGAGAGGTCCTTTGATGGGGCCAGATTATGTGGAGTCCGCCGACGATGGATTTCCCACGAACCTCCCGATTCTGTCGTCCATGGATGATAGTTTTGCTTCTTTGAGCGATCCTGGCGCTACCTCGAAGCTGCTGTCGTCGATCCATGCTGCTGTGGCAGAGATTGTGGTGCCTGTGCTGCAAAGGCAGATGAAGCAGACCACGGAGAGCTTCCTGGTTGTAGATAAGGAGAGTATGTCGAGCTCGAGATTGAACTTGGGATTGATGCGAGAAGTTGTTGCACAAGAGATCTCTCGCTACACCGGGATTTTGGTTCTGGATCAGAGTCCTCAATGAATCTTTTGAGCAGGTCTCATGTTGCATGTAAATAATATCCCATTCGCAGTGCTTCGACTTAATGGACGCGTCAATGTGCGCGACGCAGGAGGTACTCATGTAAAGAGAAATGGTACCCCTCGGGTAATTCATGTCAGTAGCTCTGATGAAATAGAAAAGGTCATGAAACGACCTTGTGATGTAATTAGTCCTAGCATTAGGAGCGTTTTCAACGAGCATGTCACTAAGTTGTGAGGACATTTTCCATTGGAATATCAAGAGTGTGGAATGCATAAATGGCACACGAATAATACAAACCATTTGTGTCTGTAAGTATCGAGCACATTGACCTGCTCAAACCAAATTTTGATGAATTGTATGAATTCATTGAGCTTACATACTTCATTTGCCTCAACCGAATCAAAGGGAACTTCAAATTCCTCATGTCTAAACCGATACATGATTTGTGATTCCAATGAAATATAAGTTCCATTGACTGAGCACTTCACAGCTCAAAATTCTGTCCAGGAATCCTTTACCTACTAGCATTAAGTGAGGAATCAAAAGCTTGTTCTGAATGGTTCGTGTAGAGAGAAATGATTGATTCACTTCGGGACTTTGGCCACCCAAGTGTCTCAGTAGATAGCTTGTAGATTGTACTGCTACACTGCACCATCAACAGATGAGATTAGTGATGACCGCTCTGGATCCGACCGTAAGGCTTCATGTCTCCAAGGGGCATGATTGCCACTTCGTTCGTGACTGGATCTATTGAGAACTTGGGGGGAATCATTCTCTTCAGGAGGGTGCTCAGCCTGTAGATGTGATAGGCAGACTTGAACAGCGTCGTGAACTCTGACAAAGTACCACGATTCGCCAATCAGGTCAGGAATCTCTGCCTTGGCTAGGGTTTCCATTACTCTGGGACTTGGGTTACAAAGCGCCATCTGTACAGCCCAGTTTACAAGCTTCAGGAAATCATTTCACAGATGTCGATTAATATTCACAATACATTGACTGCAGAAAAACAGTAACTTGGAGAGCAAGAATTAACAACCTGAATTTGACGGGATTTATACTCGTGGTAAATTTCCTTGATGGCGTGAATACCAGTGGAGTCGATATATGTCACCGCTGCGCACCAAACAATCACAGAAGTTTAAATAAGTACTCTCCACTCAATAACATTCTAGGGTGATGATTTGAACTCTTCATTTTACCAGTTGTGAATGGATGGCTTTACATGAGAGCAACCTTAGGAGAGTAGAAACTTACGAGACATCTCGATGATGAGGAACTTGATGCGACCCACATCATAGCCCTTGTTTGCTGAAACCCCAGTATGAAGTTCGAACTCCCGCAACCTGTAAAGGATGCCCCAAAATCAGAAGCGAATGGAAAGGTGCACTGAACAGGTGTTGAGTCAGGTGGGAGAGGAATAGACCAGTACCTTTCTTTGATAAAAGTTATGTTGGCGAAGTATATTGGAGAGTCAATTCGAAGGATGACAATACCATGGTAGATGAATGCATCAGGATACTGTAGTACGTTGCGGTACACAGTGGTACCCGGCAATCGGCCGAGGACAGCTGCATATCAAAAACAGGACTAAAAAGTTACCAACGTGTTGTGAAACATTCTCCGAATTGTCAGACTTACTAATTCGGCAAACACAAAATGGTTGATGTGAGACACAAGGAATATGTTAAGTACAAATACATTATTCTTTGCACGCTTCTTGAGAATTCAAACAATGACGAGCTTACCCATGTGAGGATTGGCCGTCTCGTAGATGACAAAAACAAGCGACACACCCACCTGGGACAAGAAGCAAAATCAATATTCCGTTGTAATCCTGCACCTTCACGCTTTGGTCACGAAGACATTTACACATATTGGGATACTGAAACGGATAAGCATAGGAACTTTTAATGCACACTACATAATGTTTTAGGATACCTTACCCCAACTAAAACGCCAACCTCAATGCCAAGAAAAAGCGTTAAAGTACTAGTAGAAAGCCAGAGAAGAAAGTCCTTCTTGTCCACTCGCCACAAAAATATTGCCTCATCATAATCAACCTGCAGCGTATTACATCCACACTAACAAGATTTGACTACAAAGGTGTAATAAAATTAAAAAATGATCGCAACCTCACTGCGAGATAGTTTCTAGGGTAATCATGGTTTTGTGTACCAGGTTAGAAGATATACCAGACCAACAACAGCAGATATGACAATAGCAGCCAGTGCACACTGCATTCAAGAAATTAAGCGCATTATGAGTTATTGAAAAACAACACAAATATTTCAAGTACAATCATCTTTACAAAGCTGAGAAACATGATAAAATTATGCAAAAAATATTTCTGCCTATCATGAAAAATTAGCGACTTCCTCTTCGTCTGTTTAAAACAATACGAATAAACTTGAGAAACTAGGCATTCTGAAAACGGATCTTGAAGATACCTGCGGAATGTCTGCAAAAAGAGGTGTGAGGAAAAGTAGGGACGAAGTACCGAGCAGGCCCATAAAGAGACCTGAAAATCCGGTTTTGGCACCAGTTTCCTGCATAACAGCAGACCTGGAAAAAGATCCTGCAATCCGCAAGTGTAAAAGTAATCATTTGAGCTAAGAAGCAAGCGATGAATTTGGAAAACTTGCCAAAGAAGTCTAAACATGGATATGTTGCTAACTAATCTCCAAAGCATTTTCCTAATGAAAGGGTCAGAGCATACGGAAAGTTGGAAATGCTACGAATGAACCTTTCAAGGGTATTGACCTTGTGCGAAGTATGAGAAAGCAAAAGAACTCACGCACAGAGCTAGGGGATTTGCAACTATAAATTCAGAAATTCTTGATTACTCTCATTTGTGACGCCTAATACAACAACATTGACAAACCTGTGGTAGGATACGCAGAGAACGCAGAGCCAAGCAAGTTGGCCACTCCTAGTCCAAAAAGCTGCAGGACATCGACATAAACAATTTACTAGTCTACTTGGTATTGGGATGTAAAATTCGACTAGAAGAATGCAAATAACATACTTTATATCTTGACCTTAAAAGCTCAAATTCAATCACTAAATTGGCAATTATGCATCTTTTGCTGTTTAACTATCAACAAGTCATCACACTTCGTGTAGAATTCTCGTTAAGTTACTCTATTTCAGAATTCAAGTCAGAAACAGGATCCAATTAGAATCACGAAAAATCCTTCGATCTTTCAGACTGCGTTGGTGCAGTCTTTTTCATCAGAAATTAGGGGAAAAAAAAAAAAAAAAAAAAAAAAAAAAAAAAAAAAACATACAGTTAAACAAAACCACCTTCAAGGGCGAAATTCGATTTGACCAGAAGCCATCCACTTTCTCAATGCGTAGAGGATTAGGTTTTGAAAATCTGTTATCATTTGACAAAAACGATTCCACAAAAGATAGTTTAATTATAAATTTCAGTCATAATGAGCCGTTTTTATTTACCTCTTGGTTAGAATCAATCTCATAACCATTTTTAGCTGCCAAAGCTTTAGCAATTCCTACCGACTCCTGCATACGCCCATTCAGAGAGAATTAGACATGAAAGTAATCACATAGTAACAGGACTGAAAAGAGCTGAATGAACAAGGGTATGCTCCACGAACCAGGATAGCAACACCACATATAAGAGCTGCTGTAGGCATTAGTTGAACAGCATATGAGAAACGATAGTTCAAAGAGAATCCCGGAAGCCCTTGCGGTATTTGACCAACCTGCAGTATTCAACAAAAAAGAAACGTTGGGACGAAATCATGATGAACTCTAGCGCTAGCAAAAACTGGCATACCCATTAAGCTTGGACCACAGAGCTCACCACGCTTATTGATTGAGGATGGTATAGCTTGACGAAAACGGTGCCACAAACGACAGCGGTCAGAGGCCCTGCTACACGGAGCATTTGCAAGTGCTTGTAGGTTTTGCCCTATATCATGCACATCAAAAACAAAGCAAAACCTCATTCACTGAACAATTGAAGTTGACCTACCCAGATTTGTACACAGGATGTGCAGACTGTACAAAGCACAGTAACCATGATATCAAACACGAACAAGTTGAAGTAAGTATCAGATATTCCACTTTGTAAAGGGAACAAAAAAGAAAGAGTGCTTCAGGACTTTATAGGCTCGAGGTGCTCACTAGATGCTTCATAACAAGGAGAACCGCGAGGAAGAAGCAACCCATAACGAACGATTGCCATTTGAACTGCAAACACAGCCACCATTTCTAGTCAACGTAGTGCGAGAAAGACACGTGCGTGTGGAAATGAATAACTGGATGAGTGTCCACGTGCTCACACTGAACGATAAAGGTAATCCCTTTCAAAAGTTGTACTATCATATCGTGCATACGACCATAATGAATCTGAGACCTATGATTTGAGCAACTCACCTGCGACCAACCAGCAATAATACTTCGAACAAGAGGAATGAACTTGCTGCCGGTAGTGACTTCGTACCCTAGAAAATCCTTGATTTGTGAAAATCCAATGATAATCGCCGCCCCTGTCGTGAACCCTGAAATAATCGAGTGACTGATGAACCGTATGAGCCAACCTAATCTGCTCCACAGAACCATCAGTTATCCTCTTTTCAAAACAGAAGCAAGTTCACCCTCTCCACGCTCAAGAATAATAACCAGTGCTTCAATTTCAATAAGCACTTTTTTCCAAAATGCACCTAGATAACCTAGTCATGGCCAGTGCAACACAGGTGATAACCACATAAAACATACTCTACCTACTAATTAAATTGGATTGCAACAACACACTTCCACAGTACGTGATGTATACGATCATCCTTTTAGAGCTGAAGAAATCGAAGGTTACAGGAAGAAAAAAAGTAAGAAATAACGAAGTACCTGGCTAAGCCCATGGCGCACTCCAACAGTCCAACCATAAGTGCAAGCAGAATTGCAAGCTCAGTATATTTTTCATCAGCACCTTCTTCGGAACGATCCACAAAAGGTGATAATCCATTTGTCACCAACAGTGACACCAAAGCTACGGGACCAATAGCAAGTTGTCTAGAAGAACCGAAGAATGCATACGTAAATATGGGAATAAATCCTGAATCTGAAAGACGAAGTAGATATACACTGATTCAGTTTGCCAAACATTTGAACACTGACCCGTAGAATAAACAATTTAAGAGAACTTAAAGCAATAACGTTTCAGCAAAAGGATACCTCAAAGAAGGCGCACGAAATCTAAACTTACAAAGACCATAAATAGGGTGGAGTCCAGCAAGCTTTGCGTAGGACATTGCCTGTATACGCAGACACAAAAACACGATAAATATGTATGGCTGAAATAAACGTTTGAATGATCCGACATTCTCCAAACTCTTCCATCGACCACGGTTAAGCTGCGATTTGACATGGATTTCTAAGCAGTTCTTATAAAATTGTTGTTAAAGGGAATTCTAGTTTTCCAGATTCTACCAAGGACCATCTAAAATACTCCTAACTATTTTAAATTGTAGAAAAGGTGAACTTAATGTTTGCTGAAAAGCTTGATGCGATTCCAGATTCTTACGATGCAACTAACCTAAGTGCCTCTTAGAGGTTTGCGCTATGTGAAGTGGGAGAAATAGAAGTGCAGTTGGTGTCTACAAAATTCGAAATCAACTAAAACTTCCGCATCTTGTGAAACAATCTATTCTCAGGTCAGTACTGAATAATCACAGCACTGAAACTGGGATACCCTAAAATATTCGAATGGTGAGAATTCTCTCAAAGCAACTTAAATAACGCAGTCGCATTCCTGGAGTGACTTATCTACAATTTGAACTTCACAGTCATCCACAGAACAAGTTACCTGTGGAACAAGCATAGTGCCCACGGTAATCCCAGCAACCACGTCCGCTTTCAAGTGATCGCGCCAATCGTAAGCCCTCATCCACACTAGTGAGGGCAACAATCTTTCCAGCCATGTCCTCTGTTGGCCAACTCCTAGTAAACTACTCACCCTGCCATGCCTTGTGGTGGAAACAGGGGCAGAAGGCGAATACAGGCCATGCGCATGCGATGAACCCAATTGCGAGACAGGTAGAATTTTCACATTCCTGAAGGTAACATTGCTGGAACTTTCTGGCTGCCTCTTCGGCTCTTGATCTGAGCCTGACGATGATAAGGCGGTGATGTCAACGGCACTCCCCGAAGCATACATTGTGTGCTAGCAACTACACACTTGACTCTGTACTGGGATTCTCTGTGCCTCTAGTTTCATAGACCTTCTCCGAGCTTACCAATTACACGATGGAAATAGCTACGATCGGGAGTACTATGTCTGCAACAACGTTAAAACAAAGTCTGCTAGTTCGTAGAAAATTTTGACTAACCAGTCACTAACCTCAAGATCAGACGAGTCAGAGGGGTTACGACCTCGAGCTCATCATGGCTAGATAATCCTCCTCTCTCAGAAACCTCAACTCCGCACAATCGCGGCGCTTCAACCGTAACCCCAATCAATTGAAGCCTTAAATCAAGAAACAGTGCATTGTGCAAAGAGCCCAATTCACCTACACTCCGACATGACTGAAGGAACCTACAACCAACTAGAGTTAATTCTCCACAAATCCAACCCTCCACTCCAGCAAGGTTGCGTCTCTCTTGCAGCGAAACCTGCCTTACCCTCATCCAAAATTTCTCTCAACCTCGTTTCACAACTCAGATAAGCAAGAGAGGAATTCTAAATCTACTGTTGCAGGAGCTGCTTCCAGCCCCAATCTAAACATGATTGCTGCTCGACAGTCAAAAGATTGACCTACAACGACAACAAAACGACTCTACTTACTACCAAGAAAAGCGCAAATCGAGAATTAATCAATACAACTCATGGCATGCTACGTAGGCCTTAGCGTGCAGCTATGAGAAAACTGTAAACCGCAAACAGATTTGTGTCTGCAGCACAAGACACTGCGGGAGGGAGTATATTCTGTTCATGAAGATGAGACTTCCAGGTGCATTGAACGTGGTCAAACAATAATATTCGGAGTAGCCCGAGGTGAGATTCGGAAGCGACAATAGACGTGTTTAGTGAAAAGACGGCTCAGTGCAACTCAGTTGACCGAGATTAAAAAACAACACAGAATCGGCAAATTTTGTGCGACACATGGCGTGTTACACGCGCGAGAGATGTTCGAAGAGCCATGTTCGTGTTTTCTGAGACTCTTTCTTTGTGCAACAGCTGGATCTCTTTTCCCGGGAGGCTTAGAAGTGTCATCCTCAACGCAAATTCCCCAGTTTTTTCGACGTAAAAAACCTCAAAATCGGGCAGTAAGAAGGGTGTTGAAACAAAGTGACCATCTGGGTCTTCGTTATCTGTCCTTGCGTAGGTTTGTCATGCGGGGTAGGTAGTGCTTTAACTCTGAATCTAACGTTTCAACCTAAGGATTCTAATGATTGAATGATGCCAAAATTGTGAGGATTTTCTCAGTTAAAGCCTGCCATGCCACATCTAACTAGGTCAGAATGAATTAGTTCTCAGTAACATGCACTTCTCCAGAGCTAAGGAGACTTTACTCGATTTTCTTTTCCCCCTTGACAGAAAGTAAGCGAGTTGCTCGATGATACGAAAGAAGAGGCGGACTGGGAATTTTTTATGCATTTTTTTCTTTCAAAGTAAATTAAAAAGGAGAAGATGAGAAAAAGAAAGGAATGACTTGGAAATGAAAATTACAATTTCATTTGGTAAAAGAGAAGAGAAAGGGAAGGTTGGCCAAAGCCCTGAGTCACAAGTCCTCTTGTCATCACGGATTTGTCCTGTATCGTCTCGGCGGAGGTGGGTTGTGACAATGCTTGCATTGTTGGTGAATGATCTAGAGCGTGCGAGACTTGGGTTTTTGGTTTAGTGGAGTTTGCGAGGACCTCAGCTGCAACTGGGATTTCTCTGTAGCGGCTTTTCTTTCTCCTCGTGAACTTGGGCTCACCCCACCATGGTTGCTTTTTGCCAATTTTAGAGGGGAAGAATCCAATGATTTGTAGGCTTCTCAATTTATAGGAAAGGGTTTGTGAACTGTCGCTGACGGAAGCACTCGAGACAATGAGATTTGAGTACATGCTGTGGATCGTTGTTTGCCGAAGAGGCTGGCGAGGGGAATAACGCTATCATTTTGGGTGAGCAGATCCTCCATCGGGGTTCGGAAACTTATGTAGCACTATTCGGTTTGTATTGAAATAATGGCAAGTATCAGGGATTTGACGCAGAAGTTCCGGGAGGCTGTGCGGGCTGCAGCAGTTGCAAATAATTATGATGAGGTAATGGGGAGGAATTCGAACTATCATTTTTTGTAAGCTTTTTCTGGAGCAGTCGGCATATCGCTACTCTTATCTGACCTAACTCCTTGGACCATCGATCCGTCTCCGATGGCCTACGTTTGATTGTTTAGTGGGCTTGATCGAGATGAGACAATAGGCAAATTAGATTAGGGTACCGTACGAATGTCCTCACTAGAGATTTGTTTCAGATTTGGCGATGATGCTTCTTGTGGTTGTTCTACTCTGTCCTATTTTGAGTCCTTGTCTACTTGATTTTTTTTGCTGCCACTCCTTGACCATGCTTTATTGGTGCTTGATGCATCATCCCATTGTTGCCTTTTGATATGCTTGCATCCAGGGAAAGTTGGCGAAAATCACGTCGTCTCTCATGCTGCATTCGACCCCTCCCCGCTCGACATTTTATCTGACAGCCATTAAAATTGTACGGAATTTTAGTGTTCTTATGAACTTGAATTGACCTATTGTTCATAATTATGTAGAATCAGATGATACTTGCGCAATTACTGATTTTGTTTGTGAGAACACCTCTCAAGTTTCGAGTTCACTGGACTGGATCATGATGAACCTGCGGACTATGGATATATGAATTGTCACAGGCAGAGAGTATTCGAGACTTGCAGAAATTTGTTGCTAGTCATGGGAAGGATTATGCGGAGAAGCATCGGAGCACGGAGCAGGATCGTGATAGTATTGAAAATGAGGTCAGATGTTTTTTGGATGTAAACGTCGTCACGGCTCTTTTGCGTTTTCTTCAACAATTCCCATTTTTTGTGCGCTTGTGCCTTGCTTACAATAGCAAGAATTTAGTAGGAAATAGTGCATAATAATCCTGAATCTATTATTATTCTGGCAGGTGGGTTTGTTTGTGAAGGCTTGCCGAGATAGTATTGAAGCCCTAAAAAATAGCATAGGTATGGAGGAGAAGAAGGCATATGGTTCCAACTGGCTACAAGCCTTGGGAAGAGGATCCCCAAATACAGACTGCATCGCTCATCAACACGGTGTGGTAGGTACAAAATCAGAGTGTTCTGTTGCATCGCAGGCAGACTGTGAGGGAGGGCGCCAGTGATCATGTGATAGCTAAGACTCCTTTACTGTTTCAACTCTGTCAAGGTTTTTTTATATGTCCCCGATAGCTGTTGGTTTCTCACAACATATTCACAGTTGATATAGACAGCTGAAAAGTTGGACTGGGCGTTTGTGTCCCTACCAAAGGTGATGAATAGGTTATTTTGAATTGGTGGATTACAGGTGTTAATTCTTAGTGAACAGCTCCATGCAATCACTGAAGATTTTGATAAACTAAGGAGTATACGGTTTGAAGAAACAGTCAGAAAGAAAATGCACAAGCGTCGCAAGGGTATCGAAAATTTGCCCCCTCCTGAAAATGTCCCCGCTCCTGCTGCTTATAATGATGGTTATTCTAATGACTGGCTCAAAGAAGAACCAAGGATGCTGGAGAGTAGACAACAGTTAATGGATCAAGAAACCGAAGCATTGCAGGTGCACCGATTTCGTAAAGATGAAACTGCTAACTGATAGTCATTGCGATCCTGATATGAGTTTGGTTCATAGAATCGTTGTGGTTACGAAGTGCAGTTATTTGTTTAGATTTTAACACAAGCCGTAAGCGGAGACTATTCTGTGGCGTATTTGCAGCGACTGGGATATTTTCTGTTTACTGTTAACTTCTTAGGAGTCTTGATTAAATTTCTCACGCCAGTAATGTTGTATTTTGGAACAGCAAGAGCTTACAGAAATGATGAATATGACTCAAGAGACAGAAAGGAAGATGATAGAGCTATCTGCGTTGAATTATCTCTTCTCTACGCATGTCCTTCGTCAAGCTCAGCAAATAGAATCAATTTACATGAAGGTATTGTTTTCTATCATTATTTTGACGGATCCCAGTAAAAAAGTACCATTTACTATGCAAACTTCTGCAAGTCCACTCAAAACCCTACACATGAAATTTTGACAATGGGATTCTGGACTGGTTTCTGAGGATATTATTTCAATAGTTAGTAGACCTCATCCTCCATTTGTTTTCATGACTCCAGTCATCTGTTATCTGATGGAACGGCAAGCCCAGTCATGGTTACTTCATCGAAGTTAATTTGGTTTATACTTGTGAGAATAAGAAGAGAGGTTCTTATCTAATTCGGATTTAGGCATGATGTATCGAGGAAACCAATGGTTATAATTGCTAATTCCAATATTGTGCTTGCACAGGCAATGGAAGCCACAAGCTTTATGGAGAAAGGTAACAAAGAGCTAGCCAAAACGCAACAACGCAACAGTAGTAGCCGCCTTTACATTATCCTAATCTTCACCGTCCTTACAACTACTCTTCTCTTTTTGGACTGGTATAATGGATGATTTTCTAGCCTATATGATTCAGAGATTGATGTTTAGAGGTTTGGTTTTGGGAACGTGGCTGTAAATAAATGATGCAGAATATGATGCGAAATTGGTCCCATGAACATGAGGTTATTATGTGATTGTATTCTAATGAGAGGCGCCTCGCTCATCTAGCATTTACAACTGTGGGATGAGCAAGCAGTCAGGGTAGAATTCTTACAAGACCTAGCTGAGCTCGAGATGGATGCATTTATGAAATACATTAAAATGCTTGTTGTGTAGTTCCTCTGCAACCTGTTACAGATGCATGAAGCGTGGAGAAGTTGGGGAAAACTGCCAACTCTACTGTGCTAGTGTTGCGAAGCGAGGTCAACTCACAAATAACATGTGAGAAATCAATCTAACAATGAATTCTAGAGTCTTCAATCAAAGCAGTCGTAATTCCTCAAATTCTGCAATTCCATTCCCCTTGTACCCAAAACAGAATATCAGCACAAGTTTCAGTGACAATCTCCCCTCTCAGCGTTGTTTCTCGATGACGATCAGCATTAGCAACGATAGCCCTTGCTCAATTTCTCATAATAGTCCCAGTGCAAAACAAAATCTTCCGAAAAGCTAGTTAGCTGGCCCTGGGAGGTAGAGAACCAATGTATGAGGGTCCGAAACAAACAGTAGGGTCAAGTATTTTGGAACCATTTATCCTCCAAATAAAAAGAACCTACGTGCGTGTTGAGCCAATATGAGATTGTTTACTCCTGTTATGATAGCCTTGCCAGAATTAAGGTTTTTCTTGAATAACTGATATAGTAACAGTTTATTACTGTCTCGTGGTTTTTGGCGAATTCAAATTCAACATTTCATAACCAATTGACAGTGTCCAAAACTTCCTCTTTGGGTTTGGTATTGGAATAGGGCTCATGAGTTAAAATGATAATTTCTCGAAAAACAGGAAGAGTGGTTATCATCTGAAAAATATTCCACTTGAATTCAGAAAGCTACACATATAGTACCATCCCCATTCTGACCCTTGAATTCAGCGTTGGGGACGCTTCGAAGAGAATCACGATAAGGTTGCCATAAAGGAAAAAAAGGAGAATTCCAACTGCTTCCATGCTCTCAATAAACTGGCCTCTTGTTCACACTCTCGATTTGCAGTGCATTGCATTCCAATCTTTGGGGCCATGGGGACCAGCTCTGTAGTATCCACGATTCCAAATTTTCATTCCAGTATCATCATCGCTACCAGCTCGAAGAATGCTCCCGATGGTGGCATGTCAAACGCTATCTGTGGGAAGGTGGAAGTGGGTAGACGAGGATTTTTAAATGGTTTGATTGCTGTAGGAGTTGGAGGTATTTGTGGAAAAGCAGCTGTGGCGGAGGAGATGCCAATTCCTGAAGTGGGGTTGCTAGATGGCCGACTTCGAGGGTGCGATGGACGGCCACCGTGCGTGTCCACATCCGCGTTTCGGAGTCCCAGTCGATTTATGGCGCCCTGGACTGTGAGTCACTGAATGATAATCGCTATCCCCCCCCCCCCCCTCGTTGTGTTTGCATTCCACGAAATCGATGCCGAGAATCGAAAGGAGGGGCTTCTAATTGGGTTGGGGGATTCGCTAAACGGGTGTTATCGTGTAATTGTGGATGTGCAGTATCTTGGAAGTCAAGAAGACTCCTATGATGCTCTCAAAAGAGCCTTGGCCCGAATGGTGAGGTACCTTCGTAATCCTCTCACCGAGTATTGTTGAATGTGTAGACATTCCTTTTAACCTGAATCACTGAACCTGCGTTAAATCCTCAACTCAATCGATTATTATCATCAATTCTACAAGTTAACTCTTTCAATTTGGTTGAAGTTGAATATATGGCTTCGCCTTCCGAATTGCATAGGGTGCACAAATAGTGAAGGAGGATGGACAACGCTATGTGTACGCTGTTCTGCAGTCTTCCACAAGCTCAAAGGAAGACGTAGATGACCTTGAGTTTCTCTTCAAGGTAACATCTCTTAATTCTAATAGCTACCCATCTGCGCGTTTGCTACTTCGTCTGCAAGATTGATCGTTGCTTATCCATGGTTTCCAGATAGTTCTCTGTTGAATGCAAAGCTACTATCTATACGCATGTATATGTTAGCCCAGAATTTAGATGCTCTTTGCATTGAGAAGCGGCATTGCAAGTGTTGGCAGGGGAAGGTGGTGTGCTATAGGTCGGTCTCGCGAGTGTTCATCCCTGATCCTCCCTTCTGTTGGTGGGCTGGCTGCATCAACGGTATCATTCTTCTCTGAACGCGACTCTCATCATTGCTTTGAACCTTAGTGAGAAGCTTTCCAGATGAAAGGAGAATCATGTAAATACTGAGAGATTGCATGTCCTTGCTTCAATCTGGATGCAGGGCCGAGAAACCGAGGAAGGTTGGAGAAGCTGCGAGACGATCTTGGTTGGGTGCCCCTGGAGACTGATGAAGACAAAAATTGGGTGCCGTTGCTGTTGCATTGAATCTGCATCCTCGAACTACACAAACACGACCATCTGGGTCTCATATAGAATTGGAAACAGTCTCCTGAAATGTGCCAGGTTCGCTGTTACTACCAATTACCGATTTACAGCCAATTACATGTTATTGCAGGACACAGGAATTCATAGCTGTATTTGTTGATAGGGTGTCCGTAACATCCTTTTGGAATCCTGAACTTTTTCTTGATTATTAGAATTCGAATGGAATAAAATTTACCATGCTTGTTTTATTTTAGAAAATCAAATGAATGCGTTAAATTTCAACTTCATTTGATACAAAGAAAATCATTTTTGCATGACTTTATCTTTTCAGTATGGATAAATAACACTGCAATAAAAATCTTTCTTTAAAAAATGAAAGACTGTAATAATATTTCTGATTATGTGCATTTAGGTTTGTTCCCTGTCTGCAATCAAAAACTCACATCGCAAATACACCCACATCTTGAACGGTAACGTTCAATCTTATCAGTCACTTCAAGCTACTCGAGATAATTTTTATAAAACATGTGTCCTCAGAGCTTTAAAAATACCATGTTTTGTAGACGTTTGAATTGCTAACATTCCATTGTCACATTACAAAGTTCCTTACAAACAATATAATTACTAGTTTAGCATTATCATATGGATCATATAGATTTTCTGACATTGCATTATGGCTCATAGATTTTATTCCCTACTGAAAGAACCAGGTACTTTTGACCACTTATCAGTCTGTGCATATTCTATTTACATAAACATATGAACAAATACACGTCTACAAGTGCTTTAGCATACAAAGAAATAAAGTGTTTAGAAATGTTGTAAATTACAAGAAATACAAACTTTGATAATTTTCTTCTTCACAAATATGTAGAGAATGAGACTGTGTGTGTGTTGGTCAAATTATGGCTTATAACATAATAGACTGTGGTGTACACAGCCAGTCACAATGCCAAATCACGAAGAATAGTTGACAACTAAAAAATAAAGAAATTATATTAATTTCTTAGTGCAATAAATTAACGTCGTTCACAAAAATTAAGAACTTAGCCATAAAGATTTTCATTAATCAAAACAACGTCACACTGATAAAAGAAGAGAGTGATCTCAGTCAAAAGGACCTGCAAAGGTATTATTTTTACTGTCAAGCTCTACAACAGCTCACGCAAGGGCTGCTCGTTCCTTCAGGAGCAGAACCTTCATCACGCGGCGATTCTTTATCGCTTCTTAGTCTCCTAAAACTGGTGACATTCACCGACTGCATGCAATTGTGACGAGGTAACTTGAGATTCTCACTTGTTGACGCATTGCAACAATCGCTCTACCGATCAAGGTGAGGGTTATACAGGAATTTATCTACCTCAACAAACATCATAGTGGTTTTTAACTATGGACGTTTGTGTTTTTCATGAGAATCATGCCACAGGTGAGGGCATTATGTCCCAAATGTCTTTGGCGTACTCGTGAATAGTCCTGTCACTGCTGAAAGTGTAAGATCCTGCAGTGTTCATGATCGACATCCTCGTCCATCTCTGCAACCACGAGATGACACCAGTCAGGCATGATGGATAGGGGTTATGAAGGACTGCTTTTTCTAAATGCAGTTACGGAGAAAACAGGGAGTGATGAAATGGGCAATGAGCCTTCACCTCCTGGTCTCTGTATGCCTCGTCAACTTTGTCTTGACATTCAATGTAGGATGGGAAATCGTAACCAACTAGGAAGTAGTCTCCTCGGCCATAGCCGGAGTTGCCTTCTAGAGCGCCCAAAAGCTCACTGTAATCATAGTCGCCGAATGCTCCACTTCTAATGAATTTCTTCACCTCCTCAAACCTTGGATCCGGCACAAACTGACCAAAAAACCCAGCCACGTTATCGTTAAATAGAATTCAATGCTATAAACAGCTTCTCACCCTAAAAGCCTTCGCACACTCTGTTGGTCAGGTTGGTACAATAAAACCAATTGAAAAACATCAGATGTAGATTCCATCAAGTAGATAATCTCCCAGACCATACCTTGCCAGCCTCCCGGTCTGCTCTCAATCCTGCAATTTCTGTTGCCCTTGCTCCGAACAAGAAGAAATTATCCTCGCCAACTTCCTCCCTAATCTCGACATTTGCACCGTCCAAAGTGCCAATCAAGACACACCCATTCATTGAGAACTTCATGTTGCTTGTTCCACTGGCTTCCATTCCCGCAGTACTGCAGTCACATCTCAATCATGGGGTCAGACACGATCATCACTCACTAATCTACCAAGCTGGTACCTACCAGGAGTAGATAAAATCAAGATTACGGTCTGCCGATTTTTGCAACTCTATACCTGATGTGCTGTGATAATTCACTAGCAGGGATGAGAACCTCCGCAACGCTGACGTTGTAGTCAGGAACCATAATGACTTTGAGTAAGTCTCCTATATCAGGGTCATTGTTGATAGTTGCCGCAACATCTGTGATGAGTTTCACAATCCGCTTGGCTTGCCAGTAGGTCGCAAAAGCCTTGCCACCGAACATGACCACACGAGGAACATACTTAGCAGCCCGCTCCTTGGGGGTCATCTTTTTCATATTCTGGTACCGGTAGATGACGCCCATGATGTTGAGCAGTTGTCGCTTGTATTCATGGATACGCTTCACCTGCTCTCCAATAAAGGTAAGAGGAGAGTTACAAGCCATCTCAGAGGATTCTTATAAACATTTCAGCACTGCGATTTAGAAAGATACACTATTAGCGACAAATGACGACCTCATTAAGAAACGATATCTAAGTTCACTCTGCCGACAGATACCTGAATATCAAAAAGTGCATTGGGATTGATTGTGTATCCAGTTTTGGTTTTGATGTACGCAGCCAGCTTTTCTTTCCTTGCGATCTTGGCTTGTACCCAGTCCTTTTGCAGCTCCTGGTTGTCTGCAAACTGTACCACCAAATAGAAGCCTCAGAGATGCATGCACAGTTGAGTACCATTTGGAGATATTAACAACTGAAGAAAAGTTGATAAAAAAAAAATGTGTAGAGAGAATGGCATACATTACGAAGGCCGGCTAGTTGCTTGGTGTCAAGTACCCATTCTTCAGAACCCAGCCACTTCGTAATGACTGCACTCAGTTCAGGGTTGCAGAAGTTCAACCACCGTCTTGGTGTCACTCCATTCGTCTTGTTCTGGAACTTCTCAGGCCAGATCTGCAGAGAAAACCCGTCTTGAAATGTAAGAATGCATGGGTACCACACTAAACGCATCAGAACCTTGACGTCACATCAATATCACATCAACATCACAGCAACATCACATCAAAGGCCATGGGAAACATATATTACAACATCAATTCAATGAAAATAAGTGTGGAGAGAAGTACTACTACATCCTACTCTTGAATGAGGTTCCCAAACCTTTCCAATCATTCTTGAAAATATTACAACATACCTTGTAGAAATCATTAAAGACTTCTTCTTTCACAATTTCACTGTGAATTGCAGCAACTCCGTTTACTTTGTGCCCAGCAATCACACACAAGTTGGCCATTCGAACTGTCCCTGCAAGTTTCTGAGGGGCAACTTCGACATCCACCTCTTCCTCCTTTTCCTCCTCTATTACCTTCTTAACTGCTGATTTAGCGGTTCCTACAAGTTCCTTCACTGCTGATTTAGCGGTTCCTACAAGTTCCTTAACTGCTGATAGAAAACTTTTTCCACCATCAACTTTAGTGGCTGGCTCTGAAGTCTTCTTTACCTTTTCCTTCTTGGGCTTTGGTGGTAGGAGGGATTGAATTGAACCGGGAAGATCAATGTTCTCAAGGATTCTCATGCTGGCAATCTTAGCCTCCAATTCTGTCTTGTCCACCTTGCTGGCAACAAACTTCATAAACTGTTCGTCAATAGTCTCAATGATTTGAACGTGGCGCGGCAGCAGCTTCTGAAAAGCGATCAAAGGCCACTTCTCCAATGCTTCAGGGAGAACAGTGTGATTTGTGTATGCAACCGTCCTGTTGAAATAGTATAAAGAGTTAACTCACAATCCTTGTGAATCAATTAGACTCATCTAAGCGGCCAACGCAGCATACTCGAAAGAGTGACATCAAGGAGATAACAGACGAAGATAAAAAAAAAAAAAAAAAAAAAAAAAAAAAAAATTAAACACTTTTAGAAACCTTACGCTTGTGTGATTTTCCAAGCTTGATCCCAAGACAGGCCTTCTTCATCGATGAGAATCCGCAGCAACTCGGGCACACACAGAGTGGGATGCGTGTCATTCATCTGGATGGCCACCTTCGTAGGGAAGGCATTCCAGTTCACTTCACCTCCCGACCTCTCCTTGAAGCGTGCAATAATGTCTTGGATGGAAGCTGAACAGAGCGTGTACTGCTGTTTCAGCCGCAGCAGTTTGCCTTCTTCAGTAGCATCCCCAGGATACAGCACGTAACAGATCTGCATCGCCCAATACGGTAATCAGTAGGAAGATGGAACAATAAAAAACCAAACAATACAGAACTAAATATTGATAATGGTTTGCTTACTCTTTCAGCGTTAGCCTGCGCTTCATCAGCCTTGCCATAATCACCCGAATTGAATGCTTCAAGATTGAAGTCCTCGGCTGAAACCCTGGTGGACCACAACCGCAAACTGATGGTATTCTTGGTGCGGAAACCCGGGATTGGCACGTCGTAAGCTAATGCACTCACATTCTCACCTCCCACCCATTTTTTCTTTCCATCTTCGGAATCGACCACCTCGCCAAAGAACTTGATGGAGTAGGAGATGTCGTTCCTGGGGATTTCCCAAGGGTAGCCTATCTACAACACAACAAGAGATATCCGAAGTGGTAAGCTTCCCATTCCCAATCCTTCATTTCCAGCAAACGTAATAGTTCGAACAACGCAAGCCACTCTCACCGTCTGCAAGTTATCTTGTACGTTGCTAGACGGCAAGGAGGACTTGCTCATTCACAAAAAGACAATCTTTAATTCAACAAAAGCAGCCATTAATTCACCTTTAATTCATAAAATTAACAACAAAGAGAAAATTGTGACCAAGTGCCACAATTTATGAGCTACCTCCAAATTTGGAAGTCAACTGACTCTCAGAATTTGCGGCGTTTCAATTTAACATCACCATAGTTATGCACTAACACCATTCCTGAAAATCATTAAGATAAAAGGTTCGATGCAATGTTTACCTCCAACCACTTCTCACATTGTTCCTGCTGACCTTCCTTGGTGATGGTCTGCTGGAACAAGCCATACTTGTAGCGCAGTCCGTAACCCCACGCGGGATAATTAAGAGTGGCTAACGAATCAAGGAAGCAGGATGCCAATCTACCCAAACCACCATTACCAAGAGCAGCATCTGGTTCCTGCTCTGCAACAGCCTCAAGATCATGGCCAAGCTTGCGGAGAGCTTCAGAATAAGCGTCCTTCAGCTCAAGATTGCCAACAGCATTCAGAAGAGCTCTCCCCTGCACAAACCAAACATTTTTCACGATTCTATGATGGAAACAAAACCAAATATGCAATCATCACTGAAAAGTAACTATGGTTGCTCTGGTGATTGTCTGGTTCGGAAGTAGATCTTCAGATGAGGTGATCTACTGATATGCCAACCTGCAGGAATTCCATGGAAAGGTAATGGATAGTCTTGGCATTTTCCCGGGTGAAGTGCTTGTACGTCTCGTTCCATCTCTGTATCAATGTATCTCTTAGACTCTCGGCTGTAGCAACGTATGCTTGCTTTAACTCAAACTTGTAGGGCGAGAACGACGGTGTAAATTCCGCGTGGTACTTAATATTGCTGGCAATTGCATTTGGGTCAGTCGACAGAGGGTTGGCCTTCGGTAGAATTTCTGTTATATCCAAAAACCACAGCGACAACTCGAGAACGTCAACAGAGCCACGTAGACAACAATGGCCGTAGCCGCAAATCTACAAGCTGCAACCTGAAAATTTCACTTGCAATTTTGGTTCACAACCCGTCACGACTGGACTTTCTGCTGAACAAGGAAGGAAGAACCTACCAGTTTCCGCATTTTCAGAAACTGAAGTTTCAATCGCTCTGGCCTCACAAGTTCGCTTTCTTTGTGGCGTCCGCTTGAGAGCTCCTGTCACATATAACGGCAATGTTTAAGCTCAAACCTTAACATCGATCCGATCCACACAGAAAACTTCACGACGACCTACCAAATTTTGCAGAGGGATAAACTTGTGCCAATAGTTGACTGCCATTGCATCAATAATCCTGGCATACCCCACTCTTGACCTATTACAAGAAGGCAAGCTACGAAGAATTCACCAGTTAACTTTACAAAAACCCAGGAAAGAGTATGAAGTAATTCTGTACCTGGAACAGCCAGAAGTCTCAGGCTTCTCGTGTTTCTGTACAGATTTTAACCAAGTTGAAGTATTTGATTAGCTTCTAAAAATAAATCCTAATCAAGCGAACATGACGTGCATCACCCTTCCGTGTTTCTTTGAATTGTTCGAAATTAACCAGTCACTCGAATTTCCACCCAACTATCCTTTAAACACCAAATTTGTAGTGAACCAACGCTACTAACTTCTCGTTGAGGGGACCAAGAGCAAGGACTAAACATAGATTTGAGGCTAACCTGGTGCTGAGGCTACCCCCATGCCACCAACAGACTACGCCACGAACTGCACTAACGACTTCTACACGACCCAAATCATGCAACCTGGAGGAGATCAATTGGGATCATGTGCGGAATATGCAACAAAAACAAGAACAGGAGACAAGATGAATGGCACGCTGAAGCCCTCGACTCAGGGACAAGACACCGATCGCAACTCACGTCCGCAAACGGCTGGCGCTGGACAATGCAGGCTTGGGGGTCGTAGCCGCTCTTGGAGAAGTGGTGGGGCGCGAGCACGAGGCTGAGCTTGACGATGGAACCACCGTGAGGGACGCCATCACTGCGAATGATCTGAAACCTCTGCAACAGCAAAGATGTCCAACCAGCACGGCTGATATCTATGAAGGACTTATACCAAAGGAGAAGAACTTGGGATCTTTACTATGTTGGACGCATTCCATTCTGTGCATAATTTACTAGGCCTGGCCTTGAAGAAAATTACGAAGCGGCATGCTGTAGGAGTCAATTATGGAGGGTTGTCGAGTCAGATATTATTTGGAAGTCCACACTGTCCAGGAACTTGAAAATATCAAAATGAATATCAAAATTGCGGTGCGCAGTGGACCTATATGCGTAGACACAGACTCCTAGTCGCAAAGAACATGTTGATGACACCACACTGGAGGAGATGCCCAGATTTGTAAAGGAAAAGTCGAGAATCCGCCAATATACACTTCACTTCTGATGGTTCAATTTCCTTCGGACGAAACAACTCCAGCGCTGAGTAGAGTCTGCGAAAAAAGACGGCACTGGCTAGTGTCTAGGGTGGGATCACACTTTGTCCTAAGGAACTTGTCACAAAAAAGAGAGTGGTACAAATTCTTGACCCAGTTCATTAATTATATTTGGCCAATCAGCAGGTTGCTAGATAAGACGGTCATGCACCTAAATTTTATTTATCCCAAAATGGTTCACTAGATAAGATCATTCCGTTAAAAGAAGCTATTAATCCACCGTTTGGTTTTTGAGGAGTCTAGTAACGGTACGTTAATATACTGAGGGTGAGTGAATGTTTTTCTTAGTTGGAAAATATTGACAAAGCTTCTAATTGTGGATAGCCCTGTAAGTTATGTTGACGAGATTTCACAGGAAATCTGGGAAATGAATTTTACTATTACGATGCATGTCAAGTGGACCACGGCAAGAAGTTGCAGGACAGGAATATACGGGAGGGACACTTCAGACACATGCATGCTATATTGGTAATATCAAGGTTCAAACAACCCATAATTTGCGAGTCATTTTTTAACATCAGAAGATCGTTACATTCTGTGTAAACATCCGTATTGATGCATGCAACTCACCCTAGGCAATGTGTCAAAAATGTTACAACTGGCAGAGATAAGTCTGCAAGTTAATCGCCTACTTTCTAGAAAGTCGAGCCCTGGTTATATCGATGGCTGCTAAAATTTCTGGCATCCTCTGATATTGAATGTCCTCCTAAGAGGATCAGCCCTAAATATGTGGATTGGGTGAATTGAACAATGTAGTCGAGAGAATGGTACCATCAAGATAGAGGTAGTTATTATTTTGAAACCTATTATTTGTATGCTGCGTGCATGCCAGAGTGCAAATACCTTACGGTTTTCCCACTCTGTTCGGAGAAACAGAAGACAGTCACAGTGATGGATTTACGTTCGATAAGGATACTAGAATCCTCTACAGTTCTTTGTTTTCTTTATGTTGCAAATCAATAAAAGTCTTTCTCTAGTAAACGCGAGCTTTTGGTGGGAAGGTCTCAACCTCGTCATCCAAGGTGTTCATGTGGACTGGACGATAGTCCAATTTCACCCTGTTCTCATCCCAAAATCTGCACAAAACCATGGAAGATAGGTGTGCTATAGATCAACAACAGCTAACAATGCTGAATCAACAAGGCAAAAGAACAAGCATCTCACACCTCAGTGAGCCATGCACTACATATTGTTAGACAAAGGAATCAGCAGTGCATTCAGAAACCCGTGTACATACCCAAGAGTGTGTTTCATCCACTTCTCGTCATCGCGTACCTGCATACATGTGGAGTAGAGGAATTAGCACACATCAGCAAAGCGATGAATGGGCTAATATCTGAGAACCAGATATCAACATCACTCAGACTCCGCATTTAGAAACCATGTTGTTTCACTGTTAACAAAGGATGCTGATATCTCGTAAAATTTTGATCATACTGCCGAGTACTTGTATTCTTAAAAGAGAAAAAGGTTCAGGAAACTCACCGAAAAGTCCTCACGAGCATGAGCCCCACGACTTTCCTTGCGGGCCTCAGCCGAGTGCATAGTGATCGAGGCATTAATCAAGAGGTTCTCTAACTCAATTGTTTCGATCAAGTCAGTGTTCCTGTTAAATAACAACTACAGATGTAAGTATATGCGTTTTGAAATTGAGTACATAAACTTCAGAGCGAACTCAGGTAGATGAAAAGACGCCTTTTGTAAATTTCAGTCTCCCAACCTAACCGACGTATTTCTTTAAGGGATACTACAAAAACAGAAGCATGCACATACCAAGTTAGACTGCGATCATTGATCTTGACGCGAGAGAAAGAATCCACGGTTTCATCAATCAATTTGCAACCTGTTTTAAAGCCCCAAATATCCGTTAGCTATACACCAAACGTAGTTTGCACTCATTGGTAAATGAAGATGCACTCGATGGAATCTCCATGCAAATGCACCACAAATACATCTACAATCAAGGCAAGACAACTGAAAAATTCACGCACATATGAAAAATTTCTGAGAAAACATAAAACAGAAGTATGCAATCAAAAAGGCACGCACCTTCCTCCAAAGTCTCCTGAGTCCGAAAGACAGCAGCATTATTTTGCATGGTACGCTGCATTCTGTTACGAATTTCTGATGTTGGAAGGTCACCGTTAGCATATCGCAGTTTGTCCAACCATGCAATGGTCTTCTCTCCAGCATCCTTGGGCAGCTCAGGCTGGGACTGACCTGTTGACAATGAAAATTTATAGACATACCTTCCAAAGAAAATCACTTGAGATGAATTCCAAGATACTGCAAAGTACTGGTATACAACACAACTAAAGCCAGGAAAACAACCATCTCATGTGTGATAGGAATAGCAGCAAAGGTTACTGCTCAACTAATTTCATACCAGGCTTGAACTTTTCGGCTACTCGATTTGCACAAGCTCGTCCGAATACCACAATATCGAGAAGTGAGTTGGCTCCGAGTCGATTGGCCCCATGAACAGAAGCACATGCAGCCTCACCAGCAGCCATCAACCCGGGAATCATACAATCCGGATCATTACCTTTTTTCGTCACAACCTGATCCAAAGTAATTCCACCGAGCCCGAAAGACATTTTCTATATCAAAACTTTAGGCTCAGAAACAAAGCACATTACAAAGAATCCAGATCCATGAATTTCAAGAGCACCACGATATCCCGTTATAACGCATGCAGCTTCAAAGTAACAGATCCGTCAGATCCCACGATTCAGAGCGAGACATGGATCAGGCGTATTTAAAGAAATACAACGATCATAGCAATAAAGTGGTCACCTCGCCATGGTGGTTGGTAGGGATACCACCCATGTTGTAATGTACAGTTGGTAGAACAGGAATGGGTTCCTTCGTTACATCTACACCAGCAAAAATGGCAGCAGTTTCCGAAATTCCAGGAAGACGTTCCTTTAACACTTCTGGGGGCAAGTGGTTCAGGTGAAGATAAATGTGATCCTTTTCAGGTCCTGAAACAGGGACAACATGCCACCTCAGAGACAAGATGAAAATAAATAAATAATACCACGCTATACAAATATGTAGGACAAAATTTTGTGCACGTTATATAATATCACTTAGAAACCTTACCAACACCACGTCCTTCACGAATTTCCATTGTCATTGATCGTGACACAACATCTCGAGATGCCAAATCCTTCGCAGTTGGCGCATATCTTTCCATAAACCTCTCTCCCTCACTGTTTCGTAAGATGCCTCCTTCTCCTCTAGACCCTGATACCAAATATCAGTAATAATGGAAGAATAATCACTTCAATCAAGGTTATACTCTAAACTTATTCTTCTGCTGCATAAACAAATAGTATCGTTGTCAACGCACTCAAGAGACTATAACGGAAGGAAAGTAAGAATCACAATAGCAGACTCACCTTCGGTGATGAGACAGCCAGCTCCATAGATTCCAGTTGGGTGAAACTGGACAAACTCCAAATCCTACATTCAAGAATAAGATAATCGAAGCACTTTCAACATCAGTTCCCTAGAACAAAACAACACACTCTGGCAGTAGGGTTTAAATGTGTAGAAAACCGCATTAAACAAGAACAAAAAAAAAGTTACGGTGTAATACGAAGTCATGTTATATGTACATACAGTTGTCTCAGACTCGCAACAAAATAGCATAAGAATGAAACTCATATTTCTGTGCAATTTTTCCATACAACTAAAATATCTAAAACCCTAAGATGTCTAACTCGCTACCTGTAGAGGCAAGCCAGCCCGAGCAGCCATGGCATTACCATCGCCAGTGCATGTATGCGCAGACGTAGCTGAGAAATATGCTCGTCCGTAACCCTGACATCAAATGTACGTCAAATAAAAATAAATACTAAGTTATTTATCAAGAGGGAGAGGAAGAAAGCAACGTATCCGTTAATTTCATGAATATAGAGTTAAATGATGTACAACGAAAAACCATACTCTCAGCAACTGTGATTTGAAACTGAGCTGTAAACCCATATATCAAACAACCCACATCACATCAACATTTAGAGACTAAATGAAAAGAGAACCATACCCCAGTTGCAAGAATCGTATTCGCTGCACGGAAGCGGTGAAGAGTACCATCCTCCATGTTCAATGCAGTCACTCCTCTGCAGGCACCTGAAACAGAAGCAGGCAGACATTAACAGCTAGTGCAGACCAACCAGAGACTCGCACTTCGGACAACACAAACTGCAATGTCATAAACAGAACCTGAGGTAAGTCAATGACGAAATCGCGAGATTAATAATGATCTGGAGAAACCACCGAAGCAGCCGAAACGAAAAGCCCGTTGCGAATCAAGATCATTCGCATGCAAAAACCACAGTTTACACAAATTGACCCAAAAACAGGCAGGTCACCGATAAAATTAACCAGAAAATAAATTCCATATGAACTAGCGCGGAACATGAGAATCACATCATACCTTCATCATCCATGATCAGGTCAAGAGCAAAATACTCAACAAAAAACTGAGTGTTATGCTTCATGGCTTGACCATACAAGGTGTGAAGCATGGCATGCCCAGTGCGATCCGCTGCAGCCGCACATCGATATGCTTGACCACCTGTACTAATAAAGATTAATCAGTGTCTTTTTTGGCTCTTTCTATTCAGAAGGTTGCCAGTCAGTGAGAACTGATAAGTGGCAGATAAATTTAACTGAATGCCTCCAAACCTAGTGTCCCAAGCACCAAAAGTTGCCGCAAGGCTATATGTATCAAGTGAGAAAAACATAAAGATGAGTGGTCCTTAAGAAGATGGCATCCAACAATCACATCATCCATATTTGAGAATTACCTTTCCCAAAATTCAGGCTCTGACCCCCAAAAGCACGTTGGTAGATCTTCCCTTCCTCAGTACGCGAGAACGGGAGTCCATAATTTTCTAATTCAATGACCGCCTTTGGAGCTTCCCGACACATGTACTGGATGGCATCTTGATCACCTGAAAGAGCACAAAAACCACAGAATAGAGATTTATTAACAAAGTCCAGCTAGGCAATCGTACATAAGAAGTGAATCCGTAGTTCAAGAGCAAGAAGTAGCGGAGTACAGACTTACCGAGCCAATCACTGCCTTTCACAGTGTCATACATATGCCACCTCCAATCATCCTCAGTCATGTTTCCCAAGGCTGCATTAATACCACCCTACGGACCACAAATTTCAAAGCAGTTACTGCCCAGAATTCAAGCGACGAAGGAAAGGGTACAGCAGCACCCCTAGCTAAATCAGATTAAAAACAGCATCAGAACTGCTCTTAAAAATTGCACCAATACATTTCGCACGACCTACAGCAATTTAAAGTTGAAAAGTAATAAAGTTTTACACAAGCGTAACAATTTTCCAATTACAAGTAAAGCAGTGCTGAATAACAATTCTCGTTGGACCCCGTATATGGGACATTCTAACCCCTCCATTCTAAAGAAAGTCATCGAGCTGAATGCAAAGTTGTCGATTATTAGCCAAGGTTTTGCAATGTACTCCTAATAATTTCAGAACCTCGAAGTCAATCCATGTAGTCTACCTATGCATAGCGACGGGTGTATGTATATATATATATATATATATATATATGAACATATGTCTTGAATAGCTGACATAATGAGTTTCAAAGATCAGTGCAAGTGCTGACGTTCCGATCAGTCAAAGACAGAAATTAACGCATAATCAAATTTCAATCAAACAAGGTGAATTGGTTTCTACCTGTGCCGCAACTGTGTGAGACCTCGTGGGAAAAAGCTTTGTGATACAAGCAGTGTTGAATCCGCTCTCGGATAAACCAATGGCTGCCCTAAGCCCAGCCCCTCCCGCTCCAACAACAATGGCGTCATATGTGTGGTCCACTAGCGGATACGACTGCATGGAAGAAACAATTCACAAACTTCAGAAACTACACTCTCTTACGGGAGAAAATAAATGCCATTCCATATCGCGTTACAATACTCACCTACAGCCATAAATCAGTTGTCTGTTCAAAAAATTAAACTAAACATTAAACCCTAAAGAAACTGAACCCAGGGCTAAACTACGCATTGCAAATTCACCTTAGCATCCACTGCTAAACCACGCCTCGGCTGCTGAAACCGCCTTGCTGCCACCGCACCATTCTGCTCGCGCAACAACCGCCTAGTGGCAGACCCCGATTTCTCCACCACCCGCCTCAACATCGTAGTTCCACCAAAACACCGCCACTCCCTCTCCTCTTCCTCCTTCTCAACACCTTCTGTCTTCTTACAATCCTCTAAAACCCTCCAAGCTCCTCCTCCCCTCCTACTCCACCACCTTCAAGCACACAAACCAGAAAAAAAAAAAAAAAAAAAAAAAAAAAAAAAAAAAAAAAACTAAGCCACGGACACTCCCCCGATCAATCCCTTCCAAAATCTCCACTCAGCCGCAGACTGCTACGCGCAAATAATCACCGCAACCAATTATACCAATCAAAGCAGGAAAAACGACGAAGATCGACAGAGCATCTCGAGAAAAGCAAACTTCATCAAGCACTGCTTCCTAACACAAGAAAATCCGCAATCGGAGAACGAAAAAATTGTAAACAAGTGCGAAGGAGACAGAAGTAAGCAAGTAAGCAAGCAGTAACTGAAATTGAGCAAGAATGTGAAGAGTGAAGGCGGCAAGTAGAAGCAAAGTAGCAGAAGGGAGCTGCAAGGAACAGAGTGTGATAGAAGAGGATGAAGATGAAGAAGAAGAAGGCGAGGTAGGGAAGGAAGGAAGGAAATTGGTGCCAGTGCGATCCTCAGTCGCCATGTTCCTCGGAGGAGGAGCAGGCCAGTCCACGTCAGATCGGGGTGGCCAGCCTGGAGGGGTCGCTTGGACCACGTCGGCCTGTCCGACTCAGCACCTGCCACGCCGTTCTCCCGCCAGTTTAGGGCCTTTCTGTTGGTGACGTAGGCTCGAGAAAGATATTTATTCTGGTGCGGTGGCTTTTTTTCTTTAAACTCTCTCTCCCCGAGTTGAACAAAAGTTGGTCACTGTAACAAAAAAAAAGAATTTATATGCGTAAAATTTGTATTTGATTCTTATATTATTTAATAAAATATTAAACATATAGGATTGCCTAGTGTAATGGGGGGAGGGGGGTTTTCCATGAGAATTTCCTTTACATGTTTCTTTCTCAAGTGTAAATCTTTCATTGAATATAATATGTGCCCCAACATATTTAGTTGAATTCTTTTTGGGTAAGAATCAGAAAAGAATCATGTAATGATTTAGTATGAACAAAATTGTAGCTTGATATATTCTTAAGTAATGAATTCCAATTTTCAAATGATTATATATTCTTAATAATAAGGGATAATGAATTCAAGTTTGTTACGAAAGTAGCTTAGAGAAGTGTTTTGGTTGTAAAATCTTTCAGCTTCCGTTATTAATATTTATGTGGAGATCTTTAATGTATTGATTTAATGACTTATTGATATTTCGAATCAAAATTCAATTCTTTTGGCACTTCAATGGCTTTGAATGAAACAAAACATTTGCATAATTATTATTTTTGTTCTTGTAGTTATCATTATTTTCAATGGCACGATTAACTAAAATCTAATTTTGTGTAACTATACATGTAAACTTCTAGAAACAACGATTGGCTCACTATGTGCATTTTAATCATGTTCAAAATCAAAATGATTTAAAAACAGTGATTATTTTAATATTTTCTTTTATTTCTATTTTTGGAAAAAATACATCACAATATGCTTGCAAGACAATTGCTGTAGACATGTTCTTTTATCCTTTATTGTTTTATGTATTCATTTTTTCATTAAGAAGCTGCTAAATCAAAGGAATAAAGTGGATAACACAACCACAGAAGCATTGATGGTGACGACACATATGAGATATTTAAAGATTGATGTATAATTCTAAAATAAAATAATAATAATAATAATAATAATAATACTAATGATAATGAAAAAATAGCAGGTGAATTTTAAGAATATTTATCAAATATCTACGTATTTGATGAAAAAATATTAAACAATAGGTTTTTTTTAGACATAATAGTGAAAATTCATACTTGCGTCGATGTAAATGCCCGAAATTTTGAATATGGGAACTAAAACTTCGCTTAAGAATAGTATTGCAGTATTAATAAGAGAAAGAAAAAGAAACCAATATGGTTATAATTGAAGTATTCTAATGAAGCTATCAAATTTGTCATGAAAAAGTGAAAGAAATATGCACTACAAATTTCAAGAAAATATATGAAAGATTTCAGTGTTGAAGGAAGAAAGCACCAGTATTTACTTGAATTTGAATACATATACTTCAGTTTGAATACTAACACTTAAGTTTGAGCATGTGTTTACTGCACTTCAAGTTTCAGTTTCAGTTCCAAGCATTTAAGTTTGGCAAGACTAATCTGTCTAATGATGCAAAGATACTAATCTATGCAGGTTTAGCAAAATGGGGAAGGTGGGTCTTGAGCGCCAGATGATGCAAGACTGCAAGTGAGCGATGAGGTCCACAGCGGAGCTAATGGGTAAGGAACCTCCACGGCGTGTGGCCGAAACAGCTTCGGGGCCTTGTCAACAGAGGAGCCTCGTTACCCTCGTCCTGCAGGTTCGCTGATTTGTGTCCAGTATACGGGAGCTCATTCACCAGCATGCTTTCGTAATAAAGCCCCTCACGTTCCAGCCACACCATCTTCTGGTCCACCATACTCATGGTCCGCTTCAGAGCTGCGACCTCCTGCGGGGACTTCGCAGTGGCACCCGAGTTCTGCGTGACGCCATCGTGCGCCGGCTTCAGGTTTGGTAACACTCGTCGCTCTGCCGATTGCTTCGTCCTCCGCAGCACCACCAACTCATGATGCAACGCCACCTTCCGGAACTGGGGCGAATAAGACCCTGCTGCTGCTGCTTCACGGTGGTGCTTGTGATACTGCGGTGCCGTATTCACTGTTGGTGAGGTGGCGTGGGCAATGGCATCAATATAGAACGGCATCATCGTGTCTGCTCGAGCCGTGAAATTATGTAAGTTCACGGAGAAGGAGATCGACGTCCGTGAAGAAGTCGATTGTGCCCAGAACTCGGCAACGGTGTTGTCTAGCGCTTCATCAGAATAGCCACAACGCCGTGGTTATCGCACATTTATACTCTCTTGTGTTCTAGATACTTTTGCTTTAGTCATCTAGTTACTTTCTTGTGTTACGAAAGCAAAAGTACGTCTAAACCTTCTTCGCTGCGCTTTTGCGCCCGATATTCATGACTAGGCCACTCGTACCCGGCGGGAAGGACGATATCCGGATTGAAAACCTGATACTGTTTGAAGCCTTGCGTAGAGAACTTGAGTGTCATTTCTCACGCTGCTTTACTTTGATTTTCAACAATCAACGAAAGCGGTAGTTTGTGACCTATATTGAAACATTGTGCTAGTATTCTAATATAACTAGAGTTCACTTCAGAGATGTTTTGCCAAAATTGTCAAAGTTTGGAAACTAAAGCATTTATGGGAATCAATCTCAGTTCGTTGACGAATGAAGAATTTGATTGCGTGTGTAGTGTGTTGGACACGTACAAGCTCATGAAAGGATGCCCTGAAATGCTCTTGTGCGAAACACTGTGAGAATCTGGATGCAATGAAAGGATCACCTCTACCATTACCAACCATATTGGCAATCATGAATGTGTTCATCAAAAATATCCTCGGTCATGCTCATACACAGTGCTTGTTTTGACTAGTTTCTTATCCCCTTGCAAGAACCCCTGCTTGACAAAGCGTCTGTGGCTGCATGGGGGTTATCCTCGATAATAAGGGCGTAGGAAAGGAGATGGTGGAGAAGCTGGATGCTGTCTATGCGCGCCTCAGCGGGCATGATTCTTCAGATTCTAGCCCTCAATGAAATGCTCTAGCCGCACAAGGAGGACAAGAGCATTTAGGAGTAAATGGACGGCCGGTGTCAGAGCTTTCGATTCCATCGACATGCGCAGATGGCGCTCTGAATCGGATATCACACAACCCCGTCTATTCCAACCCGAATCAGGCATTTATGAATCAAACCACATCCATAGATTACAGGGACAGCACCCCTTGGAATGATGTCCCAGTAACTCCTGGACGAAGGGACGGAGTTGACAAGGGAAGTACGCCTCGTACAGGTTTTCCTGGACCTCCAAGTGTACGAAGAGCGCCCCAACCGGAATATTATCAACCCTCAGATGCATAGTGGGTAAGTGTTTTGGAAGCTGTTGAGTATTGAAGGAGCTTGATGCTGTTGTTGTGAAATGGATAATGAAATCTTGTAAAGCTGTAGGAGTGCCTGAATTTAGACAGTGAATCGTGAGAAGCTCAACATTGAAGCGAAGAATCCCTCGAAGGTTGTCTGTCCACATCCTAGCCTTGTATTATTAGCCATTGATGTCCTCAGAGGCCAGGCTAGGGATTCAGATGACTGATGCTCAGGATATGTTACTGATGTATTTCTTGGCAAGTAAATGGAAGAATTCCTTACTAATTGCAAGGGTTCTGTAAAGTGGACCGCAGTTGAATTTCTCATGCATCACAGAATACAATGAACCAGGTCATGACTTTTTGAGTTGTCAACACTGCAAACTACAATTTACCATCAAGAGATTGGACCTGCGCTCTTCCATCATGGGAAATTTCTTCTAATTCCTTTTACTCATCTTGGGAGAACTGTGGAGGTGCTATACAGGCTCATGGTGTCTCACCTGCCTGATGCATGAATATGGGAAGCGATCAACCTAATTATTGTAAAATCCATACGTGACTCAAACATACGCCGTAAGGTTGAACCCCATCTTATTGAATAGAATACGAGGACAAAACTTGTTAGCAATTTTATAGTGAAATTGTACCATCCATCATTAGACCTTCACCTCCTGCAAATTATACTCTACTACCGTTGCATCTAGAATGAACTCGACACGAAACCAGCGAGCCGCTCGGATTTATTGCCAACATTATTTTGACTCACCTCCACTTCAGCTTAAGATAAAAAATTGCATTCATTTGGTTGGCATGAACCATTTCGAAATTTTTTGTCACTTATTTCCAAATCACCATTAATACCTGCGAAGCATACAGTAACATTGAATTGGCACTTCACATGCTGAAAGAAAGGATCATATGAACGGTCTAGAGACGTCAACAACAGACTTTGAAATGAAGATGCGAATTATTAGTTAGAAAGAGCACAATATTTCAGGAGAAATGCAACGAAGACTTGAAATTGTTCTAGGAGGAGACGAGTACAAGTACCTCTACACGTTATGGATCGGGTTTATCAAGAGAGTGAGGATGCCCGACTGTGTCAATTGTGGACAAAGTTCTGTCGCTCACTGAGTGCTTCAATACTGGAAGTCTTGAATTTTTATTTAGCAGCTTCCCTTCAGTAACTGAGACTCTCTCAGACTGGTCTGATACCCGGATTCGAAGAACACTTCCTGTTTTGCTTGGACTACTCTCAGGCATCAATGACTGAACACCATTGCTTGCTTCATGACTTGGCTTGAACACAGCTGATAGTTTGTTGTTGCTTGTATCAGTAGGGTCACATGCTCTGTAGTTCGTCTCAATGTCGGTCTGGATGGGAATCTTAAATGCCTCCAGACAAACTAGCATTTCCGAATAATCATTGCCTGCATTGGTTTCCTTTGTGATGTCTTTTGATGCTGGGAAAGGTGTTGGGACTACCATTGCTGAATTAGTTTTCTTCAGGGAATCATGGACGTTCTTTCGTGCACTGTTCGGTCGACTAGAATGCACCTTAGGCCCATTATATGCTTTAGCACATAGATTAGACTCCAAGATTAGTCCATCTATTTGTGCCTTCCCTGCAAATATATCAAGGGAAGAAAACACGGCCAAACCACAGGGGCTGGTAACTTCACTGGTTGGGTCATGAGTCTCCTCTTGCTGTTTCTGTGGAGTCTCGATGCTGAGATTCTTAGAACAAATACCTACCCAAGAAGTCTCATGAAAAAGTTTTTTGCATGCAGAGCTATCCCGCTGGTCTTCAGCTAAAGCAGGATGCTCTGTTTTGCGCAATTGTTGTTCAAATTGAGTTTCTTGAATTGGTAAATGCTCATGCTGCATATCTTCATGGGAATGAGATGAGTCGATCGAAGGTAGGTCATAGTTGCACTTGTCCCGAAATTTCCTTTCGCCTTTTGATACTTCGTCTATCTTAATCAAAAGTTCCTCATTGGAAAATCTATTAACAGACTGTGAAGAATTTTCCTGCTTTGGCATCGTTAGCTTTTTGTCCACAAAAATGCTCTTTGATCCAGCACACTCATCTTCTCCTTTATGATGTTCTTCTCTCCCCACTCTTTCGGTGAGGCTGTTTAAGTGCGACTTTTCCTTTCCATTCTGTGCTCCACTTTCTGACTCGTGACAAGACGAGCTGGAGCAACAAGAAGCGGAACTCGTACAGTCCAAAGTTAATTGCTTGCCGATAATACTTAGCTTTTCATTCTCAATCGATTTATCAACCTCATGGAGGTGGTCACTGCGATGATGCCCATGATGTTTTTTCAACCAAGGGAATATGCTCCTGGGAGCTTGTGTGAGTGGATCGCTGCATAATGTATCATCACATAGGTTTATCACCCGGTCATCCGGAAGCATCTTGTTCACTACAGACTTGCTACAACAGTTGTCAGCTTTGCCCTGAATTGACAGGTGTTGGGTTGCGCACTGGGCGGCTTTCTGCTTTTCCTTTGTTGTACAACAATGATCACTGCATGAATTGGGTCGAAGGAGCCGCATGGAATTGAAGATGACAAGGAGACAAGTACCTACATCGGCCATCACTGCCGTCCATAGAGACGCATACCCACTGGCAGCCAACCCAATTATGACAATCTTGGTCACAAAGGAGAGGGTCACATTCTGACCTATCTTCCATCGGCAGTTTCGCCCCAGCTCCACAGCAATGGCCAACTTGCGAAGGTCATTAGTCATGAGAGCAACGTCGGCGGTTTCCATCGCCACAGCAGACCCCGCAACTCCCATTGCAATTCCAACGTCCGCAGCGGCTAGGGCAGGAGCGTCGTTTATACCATCTCCCACCATTGCTGTTGTTCCATACTTTTTGAGCTCTTGAATCATGTGAACCTTGTCTTCTGGGAGTAATTGTGCATGTATCTCAATTTCCCCTATCTAAGAGCAATGTATTGGATCAGATCCTTCTCAGCGATATAATATACTTACATTATCTTTTTCCGTCTACTTGCAAGCAAAACACTTACATGTCTCTGTAAAACCACTTACAGAAAATTTTACTCAAGGACAATTAACCTTCTACTTCGTGGTCAAAAATCAAATGTAGCTATGATACCAATACAACATGGGATAGGACTAAAGAATCGACGAAGAGTTTACTTAAACAGCAATAACGACAGATGTAAATGAAGCAAACATAGACATTTTATTACTTTTTTGTGCGCAAAAGAGGCTGCAGACGCACTGTCACCAGTCAGCATGGCGACCTTGATTCCGAGTTTCTGCAAAAAGCGAGATATTTAAGTGGTCAATAAAATAGAAACCACATGAGATTAAGAAACTTGAACTGCCTTTAGGTTTGCTCGTAAAGTATGTCTCACCACCGGAGACCCTGACTTGTAACACCTTGAATTTCAAACGTTTGTGTCCACAGGGACTACTGTTATCCCTTTATGTCTCCAAAACAAATGAAATGCAAAGGGGCACGCTGCCAGGCTCTAAATTTGTCTTTATGATTGAAAAATTGGAGTATCCTGTAGAATGGACATGCTAGGAGTTGTGGCACTTAAGACAATACCAATATTGCATCGAACTGACCTTCAGATTGCGGACAGCTTCAACAGCTTCCGTCCGAAGCTGGTCAGCAACACCATAGACACCCACAGCCATATTATCTACTCCGATCCAGCCAACCGTCGCACCTTGACTGCTCCATAAGTGTATCATTTCTTTGGCAACCGCTGTAAGAAATTAATTCATGTGAGCCGATCAATCCTATTATGTTAGCGTCTGGATAGTTCAGCAAAGAGCTCTTACATGTATGATTCACCTTACAACTGAGCATGCTGAGAACACTTGACTCAATCAACTGAGATATACAATTGATAGGTATAACAACATGCAACATTTCAGTCATAAATTCATCCGGTACCTTTGTCCCATCCTAGGCGGTTTGCCATGCGAGCATTGCCAATGTGAATGATGCGGCCGTTCACATTAGCTTTGACACCCTCGCCAACAATGACCTCGAAGTCTGTCACATGTTCTGAAGGCTTCACACCATTCTGGTTTGCGAAACTCACCAAGGCTGTTGCCATTGGATGACTTGCTTTGTTCTCTACTGAGGCAATCCTGCGTTGAAACCATCCTCAATGATACACAGCTCCTTGGGGCTCCAGATACAGGGGCCCAATTTGAGACCCTCCAGGTATCCAACTGTTAAGAACCTTTTCCTCCAATCCTTTTACTATCAAGGCGGTAATATAGCTAATTGATAGGACTGTATCAATGATGGTCACCTTTCACTACGCATGAAGCTATTTGATTACAAACTGAGTCTTTTTGACTTGCTGAAATAAAGATGGACGTAACGTTAATTTTTTTCACTGGAAAAGCATATTAATAGCTCGGTTAATTTGCACATACCAGTGTAAGATTTGGTGGATATTTGAACCACCGTCTAACCCCACGATATCAGTGACTCGGAAGTGGCCCTCAGATAATGTCCCAGTCTTGTCTAACGCGACCACTTTCAGCTTTCCAAGAATTTCTAGATGGCTACCACCTTTCAAAAGTAAACCAAGCCTTGCCGCTTGTGCTATGCCGCATGTCGTGACCACAGGTGTAGATATAACTAGTGCACAAGGGCATGCCACGACAAGAAGGACTAGAGCAAGGTAAAGCCAATGTCGTTGTGAATGAACGTGAAGTGCCCACGGCACCACGGCTATGATTATGGCTGCTAATACGATTCCTGCATCAAATCAAAGAGAGGCAGACACAGTCAAAGCACACGACATTCTCCATTGTTGGGTTTAAAATGAAACAACATAGATATCTTCAATGATGACATGTCATAAATGATGCATTTGATCCCGATAACACCAGCGTCACTGCTAAAACCCTTATCTCTTAGATACTTTACAGAACATTAATTTCTTTGCCATCCTGGAGGAACTATGACCATGGCTGCATGATACCTGGAGTGTAGTATTTTGCGATTTGTTCCACTAGCAATTCCGTACGAGATCGTTGAGTTTGTGCTTCCTCAACAAGGCGGACCATTCGAGAGACTGCTGAATCTTCAGCCAAAGCAGTGGTTTTCACCGTCATGTGCCCTGCAAGTTCCTTTGAATTGCGTTAGTCGATTGCTATCATCCTATTAAAAAGTACTACAACAGTTTTCTCTCGAAAACAAACATGGCTAAGACTGATCTGGTAATAATTTTTCTTGCAAGTGTACAGTAATTCAAAAACTCAACGTACCTGACATATTCACAGTTCCTGCCCATACAATTGAACCTACGTCTTTTTCCACCGGCAAAGATTCTCCTGTCAAACTACTTTCATCAACGTTACATTTTCCGGATGTCACAGTTCCATCAATTGGGACCAGTTCTCCAGCCTTAACAGTTAGTAACGTTCCAACTTTCACCTCCTCAACGCGCACACCCATTCCACTGCTAAGAAGCGTTGCACTTCGAGGAGCCAGGTCTACTACAGCAGCTATTGCAGCACGAGCCTACATCAAATAGTCAAAATTATAGCATACCCTAAAATCAATCTTGTTACACACGCTTCAGAGCTTCATGGCTCACTCAAATACCGCAGTGGCTTCTTCATTTAGAGAAGAATTCCTGTCACCAGTTAAGGTAGTCCAATCTGATTGAGTGCAACTTACTGATAGCATGAAGAACCTGGGAAGAAGAACCATAATTTGCAAGTGCTCATGGAAAGTGAAAGGGCACCCTGTACCATAAATGTGTCCGCTACCTTTCTGGTATATATCTCTGAATTTCCAAGACATGTATATACAGTTTTTGGCATTTTGTTGGGATTGGTTTTCAGCAACATTTGATGATAGAAAGGCTTAAGCATATCAGTGCAAACAGAAATATTACGAATCACTCGGATCACTGGTAAGTGAGTGTAACATGAAAATTCAAAAGAAGTTACCTTATCACTTGACCTAGACTCAAGCCAATCAGCCAGTGTGAACAGAAATGCAATAGATCCAGCCTCCAAGTAGTCACCCAAACCAATCGCACCTCCCACTGCAATCGCATATCGCAAGCATGAATCTAACAGCCTAATTATGGACATTTTGTTTTTTCCATTAGACCAGAATGCGTTGCCCTCCACAGGCATAATGATAAAATCCTGTGGGAAAGGACTCCATCCAGTCGATTCCCATTAAGTTTTGTCATCAACCATGGTGGAAGGCAACGCATCCTCCTCTTTTGCTCTGATATTGACAATGTTACTTTAAAACTAGATTCTCATTTACCGATCATGTGGATTGAAATTCTGCGCAGAACAACCCTGGTTATTTGCTGCTTCATCAGAGCAGAATGGATTACCCTAGTGGAAAAAACGGCAAAATCCATTGGAAATTAAGTGAGTGGTGGTGGAATTCTGTCCACTAGGTTTTTGATTATTTCACCGACCGGAGACAATTCACCCTCTCGTGCTTCCGCTTCACTGATACGGTCAATTCAAAAACTTGGAAATTGAATGTAGACTTTTGAATATTTGAGATAATCGTAACATGCATGAGATACCGAAATGTTAACAGATGTAAACATGGAGAAGGGTTCGTCTAGTCACCTGCAATGAGCATTAGAATATTGATATCAAGGATGAAGCTTTTCATCGCTGCTATGCTTCGAAGGACCAAGGGAGGTATGCCAACACCAACAGAGCCTAGGGCCACCCATTTAAGAGGATGATACAGGTATTGAAAGAAGGATACTCCCAGGAGAATCCCCGAAGCTATGGTCCATGGACTTGGCCACTTCTGGGCAGCCTTCCATTCCCCTCTCTGATGCACACTTGCCACCATGCTTGCATCATTCAGAGCCTTTACTGTTCCACAAATAGTTCACCAAATAACGGTGAAGAAGTCACATATTAGAGATATAAATATCAAAGCGCCAAAAGAGGCGTGCAGATAGAGATTCAAGTTTCTTGCATTGCTGTTCAACACCTGTCCATGAAGCACAAGGTGTTTGTAGAGGCTAAAGCGCTCACCAAGTTTAGAGGAGGAGGCTGAGAGTTGATCATGCAGAACAGTCACAGTCTTGGAAGTAACATTTACAGAAACTTCCTCTACCCCAGGGATGGGCTCCAACAATTTCTTGATAAGAGGAACCTCGTTAGGGCAACAAATGCCCATCACATCAATGGTGGTTTTGCTTAACCCTGTTGTCTTCGAGGTTTTTGGGATTGTCACCGTGGTATCGTGCCAATGTTCCTCCTTTTTCTCAGTACAACATTGATTCTCGACTTTGTTTTTCGGTGTCCTATATTTTGATATCCTACTTGATTGAAGACCAGCTGCCTTCTTCTTGAGAATCTTCTCTTTGTTACACGATTCCAGAGAAGTCTGCACATTTGATAAAATCTCATATCCTTGTTTTCTTGGACTCTCAAAACTGAAGAGATCGAGCAATTGCTTGGGACGACGCTTGAGTTTCCCTAGGGTTTCTCCAACTTTTACCAGCCGTCCGTGCTCAATAAATTTCTGGTTGCCAGTTTCTGTCCTCTGCGCGTGGCTGAGCATGTATGAGCCGTCGTGTAGAGGAACAAGGCAATCGAAGTGGTCACCGTGTGCAATCAAATCATGGCCACAATTCTCTGTACCATGATGATGATCAACCTCAGTTGGTACATGCTTTATGGAGCCCGCCAATTCTCTGACCATTGGCAAGGCACAACCAGCATCTTCCATACACTGCCAAACAATCAAAAAGGCCACATAACTATCTTCAATGTCGAGTGATGGCATTATCTAGTGCGTTCAGCCTCGAAATATTATCAGAATTCTTGCAAGATGACCACTGTGCAACCCTCATCATGATTCAAACTTAAACAAGAGAAAAAACATACAAAACTTCAGGTCAAATATCCGCAGTGTAGCCAGTGTTGGAAAAGCTCAGACCTGTTCGAGGAAGATGTCTTGTGTGGATTCTCCTTGATGCACATGGGCGTGGACGTGGCCAACCTCCTGAAGGCAACAAAGGGCGAGGGGATCCCACCCACCACGAAGATCCCGTCGGTGGTCCAGCACACATAGTTTAGCAGCCATGGCAACCGTGCTGAATTGCGGTGGCATAGATAAGTACGCGAATCGCCCATTTTCCAGAACCATATAATGATCCCCAACGCCATGTTTCTGTTACACAAACACAACCACCCAAACTACACAATTACTCAATACAACCACCTAAGCTGGACCACAATTGCAAGTCGATTTGAAAACACATTAAAAGAGCAATGCACTAAGATCCCAATTAGAATCTAGGGAAAATGTACCACGAGCCCAACTCCAGACTCGAATTGGGCTGCTATAATCTCTATGAAGACCTTATTGCTAGGCTTTCGCTCAACAAGAGCCGAAGTTGGAAACAAATCAGCTGAATGATCAGAGCACTTTGCTTATGCTTCTGCACTACTTCACGTAATAGGGAGAATCACTGTACAAGATATGGGTTCTCAGAGCATATCCATGGTATTGATTAAGAACTCGTCCAATCTCATGCAATCAAACCCTGCACCCTAATTACATACCTGGCATCTGGGCGGCAATGGTGCAGGCTCCACAATCGGCAAGGCCACAGGGGCCTGCACTTCAACCCCAGGCATGACTTCCGATGGGTTCACACCCACCTTCTCAATCACCCAATGGCCTCAACCCTCCATGGAGAACTAAAAAGACTCGGAGAGAAATCCGAGCGCAACAAAACAACACCAAGAATGCAACCAAGAACAATCACAAACAACCGAGACTTCGGCCACAAATTACACCCATTCTTCTCCACCACAACTCACATCATCCCTCAAAACTTGCTCCCTATTCCTATTTCTCGGAAACATCAGCAAGAGCTGCGCTCACAAACTCAAAATCCAACAAGCTGGGGCTACAAACTACAGCTTCATGGCATCTTCACGCCCAAGCCTCTCGCGATTGAGTGATGAAGAAAACTTACGGTTGATCGACAAGGTGGGCTTATATCCACCTTCATTGTATGAAATCACAAACAATGTGAGCTGTCCCACAATTATAGTCCCAGAAAAGAGGCCGATTCATGAGTAATTAGAGGAAGCCATAAGTGAGGAACATGTTGGCCTTGCTTGCTCTCTCTCCCTCCAGCCACGGTTACGCTATCGAACGGTGGAGTCCTCCGACCGGAGGTCGGTTGCACTCAACCTGGGCGAAAGTGGGTGTCGATGCGTGCGGTAGGCTGGGTGGGGTTATGTTGCGACCGATGGTTGGCGGAATCCCACAGGCTTCATGTGAGGGCTGCTCTGGTACGTCCGATCGGATGTCTTCATCATCGTACCACCATGCACGCCATGCACACGTCCAGTCCGAAACTCGTTGGCCATTCGTTGTCCCTGTTAATCCGTTATGGGTTCGGACCTCGACGGGTGCGCCTGGATGATATTATAGCTGGCTCACCATTTGAGCAGTACTTCATGGGTGCAAAAGGTATGACTTAGCGTGAATTTGCAAGATCGGAATAAAGTGAACTCACCTTCATTGTCATCTGATTGAGCACTTTTCCCAGTACGTTGTATTTATGTATGTATGTATATATCTATATATGTAGATATAGAGAGAGTGGATATTTGACATTATTTTTAGTTAGGAATAATTAAAAACATGTGTAATTATTTATATATATATATATATATATATATATCTATAACTGTAATAGGATGGATTTTTCTATTAAACTATATGTGTAATAAAAAATTACATTTATTTTATTAGATTTAGTGGCATCTTTTAAAATCTCTTTTTTATTGGAAATAAAGATATACTCAAAGATGAAATCAGCATTTTTATATTTATGCATTCAATAGATTAGTGTTATATTATTATAAATATCATTATATTTAATATTTTCTATAAATATAAATATATAGTTAGAAATAAAATTATCATGTAGAGGATTTCATGATGTTTAGATTATGCCACTTGCAATAAAATTATCATGTAGAGGAAAACATTATGAAATCCTCTACATGATGGAATATTTTGCTAGATGCAAAACAAATGAGCATTATCTAAGATTTAGAATTTGATAGTTGATGTTTAGATTATGCCACTTGTAACAATAATGATCTTAGACTTTGTTTATACCACAACATATACTATGAATTGTAATTATTTCTATAAATACTAATTACACAAATCTAGCAACAAAGAAGCCATTGTGGACCAAATAATTTGTGATATTGATACAAATTCTATTTGAATATAGACATTTCAATGAGCTTAAATTTAACAAAGAAGCATTCAATTCATGTAGTTGCAATGTATCCATATATGGTTATTGGATAATACACATCCTATTACATTGGTGTATGATAAAATGATATACTTATACCTAATTTAAAATAGAAAAAGTAAAATTTTAATCTAAACCAATCATCTAGTAACCACAATAACTTTAATGTCTTTAGAAATAAAAATAATTTGGATAATAATCATAAAGCTCTTGCTATTTAATTTATAAAAAAATGTTTCCTGTATATATTACTTTTTGCATACCATTGTAATAAAGCTTGTTGTATTAGTAGCAATATTTATGGCATCTTTGGTACAAAACAAGATTATAAAAATATTATATTTTAAGATCTTTTGGCACAAGCATCTAAAATAGTTTTTTATATTTTTGATTAAGTTATAATTGTAGGTTTGATTATTAAAATACAAAGTATAAGAAAAACAATTTATATTATACTTTTTAATGCTGAGAGTGAAATATTTTTTATTTTATATCAAGTATTATTAAGTACCTAATTTAAATACTAGAGGTATAATAAAAATTAAAGTATTAGAATTATTTTGTTGATTCAAAGTCTACAAAGAATGCTATTTTGACTCTCTTTAAATTAAAGATTAAGGTTACAAATATTGATTGGTTTTATTTCACTTTTAACAATAATTTCAAAGCTTTCTTATTGTAGAGTTTATATAATAGATTTAAAGAAATAATGATATAATTAACAACTATGACATTCATTTTTAAGAATATTTATTAATTTTCATCTCTTGACTTAAGTTTATAGAATATTTTTTTGTACTACTATTTTTTATTAATGTTCTATTTCAGTTAGAAAACAAAACTATTTGAAATGTTTGTACTCTAAAAAAGAATAATGTATAATTGAATATGAATAAATATTAACTTTTGTCATTGTTTGACCTTGTATTTTATTGATTATCATAGAAAAAAGGAATTAACTAAAAACTAATCTTGTGTAAGTATAAATAGATATATGTGTAGTTAGGAAGTTATATATATTTAAAAAATATTAATTTGCTTACTTGCATGTATACTACCAACAATATATGCAACTATTAGTAAGAATCTAAGATAGATAATTATTATTTGTTATTAAGGACATAAATCTCAGAGAACTTAAAGATTAATACACTCTTGTGTTATTCAAAATAACTAAAAAATCATTTAAAGATAATATAATATTAAACTAGAATGACTATTGCCAAAAACAAGAAGATTAGAAAGTCTTGAAACAAAACTAAAGACAAAAAAGACATTGACAAGAGTGAAGATAGCTTTACTCTTGCCTCTATATATACTATCCAATAAGAACATACTTTGCGACATCCTATAAGACCCCTAATATATATCAAATTTGCAAGACACATATCTTGACTTATAAGGCAAGTTTCCAAAATATCTGGCACATTATTAATTTATTCCATAAAATATCTATATGTTGGTGTAAAATATAATTTATAAATTTGGAATATATTGGATACCTAGCTGTAAAGAGTTTAATTTTAATTTATTAGCCAAACTCCAATAAGTGATTTATTCTTAATATAAATGATAGATAAATGTAATAATATCAAAAGATATTCTACTAATAAAGCTCTTTTATATTTAACAAGGTTTATACATAAGGCTTTGTAGAGCATCTAGAAATTCCCTAACATCCTTTGCTATACCAAATCATAACTAGTCATTTGTTGATAAGTTAGATTTTCAATAATTTCAAAAAAAATCCATAATCTCCTTTCAGAAACTCATCTTTATATCAAAGTTTTATCATAGCTCCATATATCCATCTTCAATAAATATATATATATATATATATATATATATATATTTTTTTTTTCTTTCAAAAATCCCTTGATTTATACAAAAGATCCAAAATTGTTACCAAAAACCCCTCGTACAAGTTGTACTTGCAAATTTTTTATTTTTATTTTTATTTTTAACTTTAAGACTGATATCTCTTAATTGAAACATTCAATTTTTTCTAAATTTATAAAAAATATAGCTTATATCTTTAAAATTTACCACTAAAAAAATCAATTGTGGATTTATTCTTGATTCTCTAATATCTTGAAAATACAAGCAAATACTCTAAATTCTAATTTATAAGTATTTGAGTATTACTTTCTTTATATTTTAAAAATCCCAAACTCAAATGCCACAAAATTTGGTATGTAGCTTTATAACATAGTAATACATATTTGCAAAAAAATTATGCCAAATATTTGTTATAAAAATTGTCATAAAAATTTCAAATTACACAAAATTTGTACCAAAATTATATCCAAAATCTTAAATTTGATGATCTCAACCTTTGATATTCAAATGTCTTCAAAAGAGTAATCTTAATCCCTAATAAGACCTCAATCAGCATCTTTGAAGCCCATTGGACATAACTTTTGGCCAATATGAATGGAGATTTTTATCATCTATCTTCATTCATCTATATAAATAGTCTAACTATCTCTTTTCACACCAAAATCCTCATTTAATCTTTTTTTTAATAAGTTTTACTTAATAAGTGCCCTAAATACCAAATAAAATAAATAAAAAAAAATTCAAGAGTCACTAATGTCTAATAAAGATGGCTCAAAATACATTAAAATTATTATCAATATAAAATCAACTTTGATAGTAGCGTTTTTAAACTAATAACTTCAAGGTATCAATCTAATCACATTTAGTAATCAATTAAAATCTAATAATATGACACTTATCTTATTATATAATAAATTATATATATATATATATATATATATATATATGCATTATTTTTTATATGTTAGCTAAACCATAATATGACAATGTGCAATATATTGCTAACTTGTTGACTAAATTTTTAACCTACCAATTAATTATAAATATGTATAATATCAAATATGTGTCTATTAAGCATTTAAAAAGCTTCGCCACAAGATAATATAAAACCTACTTACATTTACCTTCTACAAAGTACTTTTTATGTAAATAAATATGTTTGTTTGTAACATTATCCTTCCTTTCAAGTATAAGTTCTGTAAGGAGTAGACATCATATATTGAAGAAGTCTAATGTGTAGAAAATTCTATTTACTATATATTTTGATCTTTGTTTACTATAGAGGTGTTTGATATGTCTTCTAAGCTATTGATAATAGCTTATTCCAAGCAAGAAGATCACTTTCTTATTTAATTGTTGTTGTGACTTTTATAACTTTCTTCAAACAAAACATTTATAAGACCAGTAAGAGTCATTTCTACCTCTAATTAAATTACCAAACATGAAAAATTTCTTCAAAAGTTGTGATACTAAATATATTATATTTTTCTATTTATTCAAAGAAAAATAAATTTATTCTTGAGGATCTTTATTTTAATTATGTCATCTCAAAGGCTATAATAATTATACTATCTTATTTGAAAAGTCTTAAAACAATAGCTCTTGAATTAAATTTGTTGATTATTGGTTCTCTATTTTTTTGGTACCACAAGTATATATAAATTACAAACAATGATAAAAGTAAGAATACTGTTTTTTTTTTTTTTTTTTTTTTTTTAAATCTTATTTTTTTTATAATAAATATTTATTAGTCTTTATCTTAATTTTGATAGATGTCAAAAATAAAAATATCAACCTTCATTATTGCATTTAAAAGATTCTTTATTGACTCCTATGTGCATACACTAATATCATGATTATACTGATGAATAAGATAATCCAATCAATTTAAGAGCTGCCTTCAGTCTAAAACTCCTTCTACATCAAGTTCTTGATTATTAGCTACTTCTACA